GCACAGTCACATTCCTAAGGAGCAAGGAAACAGTAGGAGTGCAATTAAAGCCACTTTGCAAACAAAATATCCAAATACACCATCCAGAGCCCAGTTAACACATAGGAGCAAACATTGTGGCTCAATGGCAGGCCCTTGACCTATCACACATGAGGCCCCGGGTTCAGCCCTCAGTACTGGGGAAAAAAATAAAAGGAGAAAATACACATTGCACAACCCTCAACTGGGGTCTAGATCAGGACCCCCAAATTAAATACATTAATATTTCTACAACCAAATTCATCACTGCTAAGTGGGATAAATACCTCATAAATAGTACTACAGCATGTTTCTGATTTATATAGGTAAAAAAGTGATTGATAAATACCAGATAATACACACTGTAAACGTTCTACTACTTCTCATTCCCAAGGAAAAGGTGGTCCAGGAAACTTCAACTCTACATAGGTTCCAGTGAAGCTGCATGCCTGTGTGTGAGCATGCGGAGGGCCATGTCTGGTCTGGGGTCTTGGGAAGGACTGGCAGTGTCATATGCTGTGGTCAGATTTAGAGGTAGCATTGAACCAGCTGTGGTGGAGCCCCAAGTCCTGACCTCAGTACAGAGACCCCAGTTGCCAGGCCCATGACGGAGCCTTCTCCTTTACCTACTGATCCAGATCGCTGAGAAGTGTCCCTGAAACTAGCAAAGAGCAGGTAACATGTGATGACCATACAGTCTGCAGGATCCCCAGCATCTGCAATGTCTCCCCCATTCTAGAAATTTCTCCATCAAGGGAAGAAGGCAGAGGGCTTCATCACCATGTGGGATGTTTCCTCCTGTTTTATGACTTTGGGGTCAACAATGAGGTCTGCTGTTGCCTCCTTCTGCCACTGGACCGTTCAGTTTCAAGAACTGTTTGAGGTCACAGGCTGAGCACACTAGCAGAGCTCTGTGCTCTGGAATGTCTTGTTTCACCACCAAGTCTTGGAGCATTTTTATCTCTACCCCTCATCCCTGGTGCTGGGGGTGCCAAGGGAGCACTCCTCCCCTGAGATACACCCCAGCCACAGAACATGTGTGGGAAGCCCTGGTCACTGTTAATGGTATGACCCCTACCCCGAAAAAAGCATTTATGTTTGATCTTCATGGAGTGTAAGACTCCTTTCCAAATGAGAAGTAAATGCCAGATTCAGGACCATCTGAAAGACAATCAGGAAGAGAAGTGTGAAGGGCTGGGCCGAATGACAAACTGCTTCCTCTCTCCTGGGCCAGCTTATCTGCACTGAATCCAGGGCACTGACGCCAGGGATTGCCAAGTAGGCAGAGAGTAGTTCTCAGGTGTTCCTCTGCATAACAGGGAAAGGGGTGCCTGCCCACGCACACCTGCCCACGCACACCTGCCCACGCACACCTGCGGCTGCTCCCTCACCAGCATGGCCCCGCCTTCCTGGAAACCAGCACAGCCAAGCTGCCGCCTCAGCTCCAGGCACTAGTTCAGACCACAGTTTTCATGGGACCTGATTTCAGAAAAGTCCATCCGTGTGATTTTCGGCTGTTCCTTGAAGAGAAGCTTGTGGGAGACTCAGCTCTGCAGACGGTTTCACACCTTGGCACTTGTTGAATATTCATGCTCACCTTTAAAGCGCAGCTCCTCCGCGCAGTCCAGCTGGTTTCACCCCCCCACACTGTGCACCTCCATCGCCAGCTCCTCCATCCACTCCTGGCAAAGTCCCCGTGTACACTGGGTTCTCTGTTTCCATGGTTCTTGGTCATCATGTTGCTGTAACCCTCAACGACTTGTCTTCTGATTTCCTAAGACCGGGGCGGGGCTTCCCAACTTCAATGCGACTTTCTGCCCCATTATAAGGACAGTGCTTCTATGTGCCCTTCTCACAGTGAGCAATGGGGTGCATTTAACTCTTCTATGTATTCAAAGTGCAATTAGAATTGCCAAAGGACAAGTCAGCTTTTTAAATTAAAACACGCATGTCATACTAAAACAGCAGCGGCACCTGACCAGACAGGGATGCTACCAACACCTTAGGGCGGGTCAGTTTTTGCAGCAAATTGAATTTTGGAATCAAATTTACAGGTGGACAAAATCTTTCTGCTTCCAGAGCTTTCTGCATTTTGGAATCACAGAGAAGGGGCCATAAACCTGTTCTATCAGAAATCAGAATAAAAAGAACGAAGATCTTCAGGTACCTAGAATCCAGCAAGAGAGAGATGACCATGTGCAGCAGAGCACTGTTGACCTATGACAGAGAGCTGGAATTGCAGGAGCACCTCTTGGGTGCTCAGCTCAGAACACTCTTCAAGGCAGGTGCAGCTGACGCGACCCCCCAACAGAGAAGATCACAGCCAAGGTCCCAGGAGATAGGCCAAAGCAAGCTTCACCCCCACAAGTAAGCAGGGAAGGCTGTGAGAACCCAAAATGAGCCACTCACCTGAGAGGTTCCTGGGGAGACCTCAGGCCAAAGTGTCTTGTTGAAAGGAGGGAGGCACTGTGGTCAGCATAAACAAGACTGTGCAGGTGAGCAGCACAGACAGACAGGTGGACAGGGGCCTGCCTTCTCAGGGACTTGGGAACAACAAGGGCCCCCCAGAAGGAAGTATGGTGTCCGATCTGTATTCTCCCCAATCTTCCATCAGCTGGACAAACTGTCACCTGGAAAGGGGAGAAACAGTGTAGACACTGCTGTTGTGCCCCAGGTGTATTGAGAAATAGCCAAGAGGACAGAGTGGGCAGAGATGGCTGAGAGAGTTGGATAGCCAAGGATGGCCCTGGCGAGCTGAAGGGTTAGATGTTAGAGCAGAAGTCTGGCAGCGGGAGGAGGAGACAAGTTGAGTTCGAGGTGTCCATTAGACTTCTAAGTGTAGATCTGTCTTCCCACGGTGTCTGGCCAACCTGCCACTGAATCTGTCATAACAGACTTCAAATGTCATATGGACAGATTCAAAGCCAGACAGGTGGCTGAAAGACAAATGGATGGGTGGACAGATAAGTGAGTGAGAGGGACTAGACAGATGGACAGATGCAGAGAGGGAAGGACAGACAAATGGGTAGATGGTGCTGGTGTCCCTGGTCTGGTCATCTACCCTGGTTCTAGTGATTACCTCCTTGTGGGAGCTTTCTATTTCAATTCAGCTCCCATGCACAGAACTGACCCTGCCTTCTTCCAGGGACTCCACCAGAGACCCATTGTCAGGTCCAGCTCCCCAGGAGACCCGCTTCCTGCATGGTGTCCTGCTGCTGCCCACACTGGACACAGCACTGCCTCTTGGACTGGCATCTGTCTTTTCACTTCTCTGGTCTCACCTCTGAGCCCCTGCTCTTCTGAGACGTATCACTGTGCTGATGTAGCCCTTCGCTAGGTTGGGGGTGCCTCTGCTACACTCTGCCCTAACAGGCAAGATCAATAAACCCAGATGGTCCACGTCCTGCCCACTGTTGCTAAAAGCTTGGTCCTTGTCCCTGATGCCAATCCAATAACATAACGAGGACACGGTTTTGAGAAAAATGAAAAAGATTTATTGCTTTGCTAGCAAAGAAGAAACACAATGGACTCTTGTCCCAAAGCCTATCCACAGGAATTGGGGGCTTTTATAGAGGTGATTCACAGAAAATGAAATCAGGGAGGAGAGACCAGGAAGGAGGAGAATGGGGAAAAGAAGATCAGGGAGGAGGGGGCTGGGGATGTGGCTCAAGTGGTAGCGTGCTCGCCTGGTGTGCCTGTGGCCCGGGTTCGATCCTCAGCACCACATACAAACAAAGATGTTGTGTCCGCCAAAAACTAAAATAAATAAGTATTAAAAAAAAAAAAGAGAGAAAAAGATCAGGGAGGAGAAGTTTAGGAAAAAGAAGATCAGAAAAAAAAAAAAAAGAAAAAAAAGGAAGTAAAGTTTCAGAGCCACAGGGACATAGTAGAAGCATCCAGTGAACCCCTATTAGCTACAGCCAGGTTCTCTTGCCACTCAGTGACAGAAGGCAGCAGGCCTGGAAATTAGGTGGCTGGGGTTGTGGCTCAGCAGTAGAGCACTGGCCTCGCATGTGTGTGACCCTGGGTTTGATCCTCAGCACCACATAAAAATAAGTAAGTGAAATAAAGGTCTTGTGTCCAACTACAACTAAAAACAAACAAATAAATGAATAAATATTAAAAAATAAAATAAAGAAAGGAGGAACAGAGTCCCTCCAACTAAAGGTTCCAACCTGGGCAGAGGTGGGGGTGGGGGGAGTGTCTGAAAGGGTGTCCCAGAGGCAGGTCACTGCTCTTCCAGCCACACCTCTAGATGGCCTTGGGCAGGCCACAGCAAGAGTGGGGGATCGGGTTTCCCATCTGGCAAGAGTAAAGGGCTGGGCAGAGGGCTGGGGGTCCAGCCGGTAGGAGTGGGGGGAGGGCTAGGGGTCCTGTCGCAGGAGTGGGGGGAGTGGGGGGGTCCAGCCCGCAGGAGTGGGGAGAGTGGGGGAGGGATGGGGGGGTCCTGCCCCAGGATTGGGGGAAGTGGGGCAAGGTGTGGGGGTCCTGCGGCTGAAGTGGGGGGGAGTGGGGGAGGGCTGCGGGTCCTGCCGCAGGAGTCGGGGATAGTGGGGAGATACTGGGGGTCCTGCCGCAGGAGTCGGGGATAGTGGGGAGGTACTGGGGGTCCTGCCCCAGGATTGGGGGGAGTGGGGCAAGGGCTGGGGGGTCCTGCCCCAGGAGTGAGGGGAGTGGGGTGAGGGCTGGGGGTCCTGCCAGCAGGAGTGTAGGGTATGGGGCGAAAAGGAGGAGTCGCCCCGGGCGGCAGGGGACCGGAGACGGAAGGCAAGCTTAGCGCCGTGCGCGGAGCCCGAGACGACTTTGGCGGAAACCGCTCAGCGCGGGTTAAGCGGCGTGGCGCACAGGCCCGGCCCAGGTAGAGCGCGGGCGCGAGGGGCGCAGGGCGCCGGCAGGGGGCGCACGAGCGCCCGGGGCGAAGGATCAAGTGTGCGCATGCGCCGAGTCCTGCCCACACGTGGGCGGTGCCTTCTCGGATTGGGTAGCGCCGCCACGTCGGGCGGGAGCGTCGTCGCGTCCGGTGACGTCTCCCGCGGGCGTCGGCAGGGTTGGCGGCGTCGGCAGCCGTGTCGGCGGCGGCGGGTGGGAAATGGCGGAGTACCTGGCCTCCATCTTCGGCACCGAGAAAGACAAGTGAGTGAGGGCCGTCCTGCGGCGCTCGGGCTGGGCGCGGGCAGGGCGCGGGGCCGAGCGGCGGGCAGAGCGCGGCGGGCGGGAGCGCGGCCTTCCGGCCTCGCGCGCCTGGGCCGCCGCCTCGTGGGCCACGCAGCGGGCGGGTGGGGCGCGCCGCGGCCTGGACGCCGGACTCCCGCCCGCCGTGGCCGCCGAGGGTCCGGGCCCGGCCGGCGCTGACTCGTTTTCTCCAACTTTCAGCCTGCGGCACGCCGGCCCCAGCCCCAGCCTCGCCAGCGTCCGGTCGCCGGCAGCACGGGGTCGTGGTGGTCGGGGCAGGTCCGCGGAGCCCGCCTGCTGCCCGCCCCAGCCATGGCGGGCCGGCGGCGTGACCCTGAAGTGGGAAAGCGCAGCCAGACGCCGGATTAGCCGCGCCGCCGCCACGGAGGCCCTGCTCCCGGAGCGCTCGGGAGTCGCGCTTCCGATGCGAGCAGAGGGGGCTTTGGGGTTCTTTGGGGGTTCGGTTTTTTCCCTCCCTGTAAAGGCTGCATGTCTTCCCTCATCAGCTGTTAGGTTAAAAGTGAAGAATCAAATTTCGCTTGTGTTTGGTTGCCGTGTTGGCACGTGTTAATCTCAGTGTGTTGGCTGAAGTTTAGGGTAAAGAGAAGTCTCCAGACGCTTTGAAGGATAATTCCTACTTTGAAAACCCAAAGCCTAAGCGTCTGGCATAATCTACTCCCAGTAAGTGGTAACCGTCTTGGCATTCTTGAGCGCCATGCAAAGCTTACGCAAACATCTGGTTTTTCTGGTAAGCCCCTAAATTTGTCGTAGATGATATTATTTGATGCCACTTTTTCAAATACTATTGAAATGTTTCTGTTTTCCAGGCTGGAGGCTGCCCTGTCAAATGTCTTCTTTACACAGGATAGAATCCCCTGTCTTGTTTGGGAGAGGGGATGTATTTCGTTCTAGAAATCTCACGCCAGAATCAGCAGTCATAGTCACTGGAGAAACATACATTGGATATCAGCTATGGGACATGCTGGGAACTCAAGAGATTCATAAAATTTGGGTCTTGTCTTTAGGGATTGTAGTGGGAGGGAGTGTCAAGATTAATTAAAGTAAAATACCTTAAAATATTTGAAATGCTGTGGAAGAGTGTGTACCTTAAATGCTCTGAGGTATAGGAGGTGGCTTGGTAAACAGGCCTAATATGTCCTTGGACATGGAAGCTGCAGGACTTAGGCATGCAGAACCAGGGACATCAGTTCACCTTTTCATGTGTATTTCTGTGTGCTGTCACTGGGTGTTGTGAGAAGCTGTCCTGGGTGGCTTGTTACTCCAGTAACATTTTTACATTCCTGCTTTAGGCATATTTCTGCCTCTTAAGGCAGAATCACACATGTCATGGTTTCAATTCAGAAAGTTTATTATCTAGGTCACTTATGTTCTCATTTCAGGGAGTTTCATGGGCTTAACTTCAGGAAACAAGATCAGCTCCTAAAAAATGAAAGCTATGGTTTCTATTAACTTTTTTTTTTCCTTTTTTAATTAAAGTTAGAAGATAGATGTGGGACTACTCTACCAATTTTAAAAAATATATATGTAACTATGCACATTAAGTTATGGCCATTTTCTAGCTTCAAATATAAATCAGCCTTTTTAGTGGTTTGTTTGTGGTAGTAAACCTTTTTTCTTATGGCATTTCGTTTCGGAGTTATACTAAGAAAATCACTAAAGTTACCCCCCCCAAAAAAAAAGTTTTGATTAATTTACTAAGCTCTAAATAGCGAATTGGTTGAAATGAAAGCCCATCACTGGAAGTACAGGAACAAGGGTTATTTTATCTCTATGGGATAATTGAATATTAATTGTTCAAGCAATGATTTTGCTCATTCTGAGATATTTGTTAAATAAGGTATTTATTTTCACTTGAGTTTGTTAATATGTTATTATCTGATCAAGTTCTAAAGTCAGAGTTACTTCTAAGTTTGAGAATTATACATAGTGATTATTTTCCTTTCTTGATAAATTCACAAACCTTCCCATCTTGATTGCTGTCTGGTAATAGCTAACAATCTTCATGGCTAATCAGTCATGTTTTTTTGAAAGTTGAGGCCATTAGTCATAATTCGGGGTTGACTTCCTGAACATGTCCCGCTAAAAAATTGCATCTATAGAGTAGCACTTTCACTCTGCAAGGTGAAACTTGAATGAAGTCCATCTAGTACAATTTCATAATTCCTCACAGATTCGCCACATTACTTGGCATTACCGTTGTGCAGGTGCTGATTGCAACTTGTTCTGGTTGATCAATGTATAAAGACAGATAATCTGAGATAGTTTCTAAGACATGCTTGATCCCTTGATTTCCTGTTTACTTCAGACTTATTTGTAAATTTTCTCTTGGTCTTATGGGTTGTAGGAGAACCTGAAATTTGTTTTCTGTTTTCCTTGGTGGTAGTACTAAATGAGTCCTGTGTATGAAGCACATACATGTTGTATCTGATTCTCAGAACAGTATCAGGTTGGCTCCTTCTCATTTTACAGACAGCATCTGTGACCTGCAGAAGTGGCGAACTTGTCCAAGCCAGGCAGCTGGTAGAGTTGGGGTTTCTCTTCTCCCTATACCCTGCTGGTGTCCTCCAGAATTTTATCATGGACAAAATAGAGGATAGGGCTTAGGTTTAACCTATACTAAATACTTGATTTAATTAAGAAAAACCAGAAGAGTAAAAGTGAAAAGGAGTAATCCTAAGATATTGCAAGGAAGAGGAAGGTGCCACCCAGAAAAACTGCCTGCGCTTTTGTGAAGTAAAAGGAAAGTAGTTGGATGGTATATATATCACGTTAATGGCATATTCCCTTTTGATATTGTCACAGTAAAATAATCAGCTCTTGTTTTCCCTTGCAGAGTCAACTGCTCATTTTATTTCAAAATTGGAGCATGTCGTCATGGAGACAGATGCTCTCGGTTGCACAATAAACCGACCTTTAGCCAGGTTTGTTTGTTTTTTCTTTTCTGTTTTCATGTAAATTTACCAAAATTTTGTATTTTTCAGAGGCACTTAATGGTTTCCATATGTTGTCTTTTTTCCTCTAGTTTTATTTTGTATTTGTGTTCATGTGTCCTTTTGTTTAAGTGAGAATGAAGCAGGTGAACCACCCATAGTGGGAGGTCCCTTATTCTTCTTACTAGAGAAACTTTTTAAAAATAAGTTAAATGTATCTGTGTTGGCTGTGACTGATGTTCACTGCCCTGCCGTCCCTCCCCTGATATATATGGTTTGGTGAGGAAAATGCCAGCTTTGACTGCACCTCTTGTCCAAGCTGTGGTGGATGCAGAGTGGGCTTTCTGCTCTTTGCTCTCTCTAGAGAGTGATTCAGCCACTGGACTAGGGATGTTGGCGTGGTTGTCTGTCAGTAGGCCGACACACTGTGCTACTGAGTTCCTCTGATACCCCAGAGAAGTTCCCACTTTTACACCCCAAGTTGAGCAAGCAGCAAGTTGCACCATGTTGGAACCATTAAGATGAAACTTAATAGTAGAAGATAAGCATACCTTGTCCATAGCAGGCCTGTTCAATTAATTGAGAGATGCCTGTTATCTTGAGCTGAGTTCAATCTGGGGCGGGGGGGGGGGGCGTTGGTGATTGTTTTGTTTTTGGCAGATTGAAGAAAAGGCAAGGATCTGTGCCCTACAAGGGCTTACTGATGGATTGAAAGGACAAAATACTTCTAATAGTAGCAGAAAGTGTCATTAAGTCTGTCTGGACTGAGACTGAGGAGCCCCTTTCTCATCACCCCGTACACAAGGTGCACTTCGACCCTTTGGTGGCTACAGTGCATAACTCTCAGAAGCTGCTGGACTCAGCCTTGAATACACACCTTTCTGTTGATGTTTTATCCTTCTCACAGACTGGATGTATTCTTTAATAAGACAATCAACCGGTAGAAGTGAGTTGGAAGAGAGACATTGATGTTTTAAGTCTCTGGGAAAACCCTACCACATAATGTTTTTTAAAAAAGAAGCACATAATGCCTTTTTCCTCTCAACATTCCTCATGATTACATGGTTAGTGTAACAAAAATCTCCTCTTTAATAACCAAACATGTCCCTGTTTGTTTTTGTGAATTTCAAAATATCAGAGAACTTGCTTTAAGTTTTCTATTATAATTGTGTTTTAATTTGAATTATTAGCTAAGTCTCCCCAACTAAACTAGTGGCTATAGATTGTGCAGTAACTAAGTCTTTGAAATCTACCCCAGTTTTTTATTCTGGGGAAAGTACACATCAGGTATCTGGCTGTTTTCTCCTTAAGAATGCCCTTTAACTGAGCCAGAACACTTGATTTTTCTTCTTTCTGAATCATTGATCTCTTCAGGAGGTTAAATGTGAAGTTGATTTGAATACTGTGGATTAGAACATGGAGGTGCTTCCATTAAAATTTGATGGGATCAGCAGTATGAGGTCAGTATCTTGTGTTGGTTTGGTTCGTTAGTTGGAGGTAATCCTAGTTGCCCCCAATTTTAATGGAACCACTTCACCCCTTTATTTGAAGTTTCGTGCAGCAAACAGCCACTGCCTGGAGGGAGCCCTGTAGTGAGTTTTATCATTGAGTATCCAGGCTCTGTTTAGCTTGTAGTCAGTGCTCACACCCACGATCCCTGAGGAAGCTGTGTAGAATCAATTTTTTGGAAACCTCCAAGGCCCAAGATGAGTTGACTCAGGGTAGCCCCTGATGGGTAGGGAGGGTGCTGGGCCCTGAGTGAAGTTGGCTGTTTTATTCTCATGGTTCAGGGTGTGCGTTCTGAGTTCAGCCCTTCCTCCAGGTGGGTTCCAGCTCAGGCCTGCAGGAACGTCCCTTGGTACCATGCCTCTTTAAAGATAGCTCAGAGTAGAACTGACTGGGTGACTAAAATACTTGGAAAATGCTTTCTTGACACCCCTGTTATTAAGAATGAATATTTATTTTTCTAAATCATGCAGTGTGTTGGTTCAGCTTGTAAATCTCTAGCATAATTCAGGGTGGGTTTCTTTGTAAGCTTCTTACAGTGATGTGGACAAGATTCATGTAATATATTAGCTTACTAACTCAAACATGGTTTGTTTTTTCAGACAACTTGATTTTAAGAAGAACGGTACAGTGTAAGGTTTCAAGTCTGCCTGATCCAGTTTTAAAGCACAAGGGCTAAAAGGATTTTTTTCCTTAAAAGAAGGATCGGAAAAGAGCAAATGTTTTAACTATTGTATTATGTAAACAGAGATCCCACCAAGAAAGTGTAAATAAGAGTCAGGTATCCATGACAACTTGGTGTGCCTGTTTTGCTAAGACCAGAGAACTTGATGTACTGCATACAGTTGAGTTATGCATTTGGTTGAGAAAAATAATTTTGTGTGGGGAATATGATTATAATGTGAGTTTTTTGACATCTTCGTGTCTGCTGGCTTGAAGTACAAGAAAATGTTAGCGTTCTATTATTTATCTTGTATTAAAGCACTTTACTATTGATAACGGGGACCACAAAACAACAGTTACAGTTTCTTCTTGGTTGCTGGCTGACTTGACCCAAGTCACTGCTCAAACTCTGTTTTCATAATATGATGGTTTTGGTGTACTCTGCACAAGACAAAGTGTCTGACTTGCGGGAAAAGAACAACAAACGTTTAGCCATTTGCAAACAAATTGTCTCTTTGCAATTGTCTAATATATGCACAGCAGCCAGTAGAATTCCCCTTTTTATTTTTTTTTCCCCGCAGACCATCTTGATTCAAAACATCTATCGTAATCCCCAAAACAGTGCACAGACGGCTGACGGCTCACACTGTAAGTCCCACAGTTGGAGAAATTTTTTTAAAACGATGGTGTTCAAGAGCCCACTCTTAATTGAGACATAATGTTGGCTCTGAGCTGCTGACATAGAGCTGTTGCAAACAGGACAAGGTGCTGGAACAGCGTGGCGCACACAGCCAGAACTTGATATGGGCCATGTTCAGGAGGCTCTCCTAGGAAGGGTCACTGGCGGCCTCTTCCATTGACTGACATCTGTCTGGAGAGCGTCCGTCCACGTGAAACGGGTTTTAATGTTAATAGCCGGTCATTGGTCTTTACAGTGACTGAACCCCTGGCCTTTATTAAGTTCTTTCTGTAAAATTTAAAATGCTAGGAATATTGAGGAAATCAACAAGGTAAGTTGCCCAATAAGTGTGGGTTCTATTTCACCATTATAATTTTTCCTCTAGGAAGTGGAGATTTCATGACATGTAATTATTGTATTTCTCGAATTATTAGCAATTTTTTCACCCGTTTATAGAGGTGCTTTTCTTTCTCAGTTGTTAAGCTTTCTGTCACACCTGAGGACACTGGTAGTCACCTGGCAAGCTATTTGCATTCTTACTTGGATTGGAATTTTAAAGTGGAGCGTTTTTACATTCTGTAAACAGAAGTACAGTATTGGCATCTCATGAGATCTCTGTTGCACTGCAGTGTTAGGGTAGATCAAGACAGCCACCAACTAAGGGAACATCTCTGCTTCTGAAGAAAATAACCTCCTCTTTTTTCAGCACTGACTCTCACCTGAAGCGATCGCCAAAGGCAACCGGTTAAGTGTTTACATTTAATTTTCCGTAATATAAAGTTGTTGCGTTTTGTATTTCAGACCATTGCCCTCTTGAACATTTACCGTAACCCTCAAAACTCTTCCCAGTCTGCTGACGGTTTGCGCTGTAAGTTCATACAAGTTCCTTCCCTGGTTCCCTGGGCTTGCGTGTCAGAGCTCAGTGCCCACTCCATCTGGTCGGCTGTGCTAGTGTCGAGGACCACGTTCACTAGAGGTGGCAGGAGTGTGTCCCACTGATCCCGTGGAAGCCTCTGTTGGAGATCTGAACTCCGGCCCTTTGTGCCAGAGCAACAGTGACTGGAAAGGGCACCCTTTGAAACAGTTCGGACCTGCTGCTCTTTCTTTCTCACTTGGACTGTCATCCTGGGATTGAGTTCAAGTTCTGCTCTTCCCTCTTAAGAGCAGCAGTATCTGAACGTTTCTCACTTTCTGAACTCTCAAAAACAAATTGATTTGAATTTTTTTTAGGTTTTTTTTCTCATTAGCCTTTTCACTAAAACTCCTTTTTGGAGGTCTTGCTTTTAATTGCAAGAGCTTGTTCTGTATTACCCAGTGAAGGTCTGTAGCTTGTGTAGACCTCTCAGTTTTCCTACCACACCGTGTGGTGTACTCCATTCAGATAGGCGCAAGACACTGTTTGGGGCCGCCTGCTTTGCCTAGATAAAATCTCCAACTGCCGGAGTTAAGTGCTGCTTTGGGGAAATAAAAGGCACTTAGTGGGGAAACAGATCTAAACTGGCATTCAGTAAACATTACCAGTTTCTTCCTGTATTGGGAACTCTGTTTAGGTTGTGAATATTTATAGAGTGGAAGTTTGTAAGTGTCCAGCAATAGAACCATTGGGAATTAGTCATTTGTGGGTAACTTGAAATGAACTCCTGGACTCTAATTAGAATAAGGAGTCCAAACCAAAGGGTCAGACCTCTCACCGGTTTATTTTAAAGTAAAAATTAATAAAGCTGTCCTTGGATAGCACAGACCTAAATCAAGCACACCCTTAAACCTGAACCTCTCCATTGTAGGGTAACCTACCTTGGGTAAATGGTCCTGGGGGCAGGGGGCCATTGCCCACTGGAGCTGGCCCTCAAGTAGGGGTGCCTTGGTGCACCTTTCCATGTGAGGTGGGATTTTCTTGTAAACTTCCTGCTGAGATGCTAAATGTTTTTGTATGCTAATACTCTCTTGATAGAGATTTCTCTCCCTGAATCTGGTAGTTGCAGGATTTACTTGGTAATCCTTGGTTTAAAATACCTGGTGTTTTGTTTTTTGGTTGTTTGCTTTTTAAAAGAAATAAGGTGCCAGTAGTGGAGGGAAATAAACATTTAAGTATGGACTTTTGTTAACCCTGGGGTGAAGATACATGAGAAATAGATGATTAACAGTTATTAATAAATCTCTGCCCTGATTGTTCACTTGGGGACTTCGTATGCTTCATTGACCATAGTGTTGCATTAGTTTCTTTGTGTCTTTATTTGCAATTCACAGTACTCTTATTTTGCATATGCTATAAACTGAAAGTTTAGCTGTTATTAAATGTTCCAATTCTGGGGTCCATCCAGATTGTACAAATTAAATGGACTTATAATTTTGGGTTTTAGAAAGAAAATCAGTTCCTAAATGAAATCACTGGCTCTGCCCTTTCATACCTAGGATAATTAGCTTCATGTGCAGGAATTGAAGTTAAACATGAGTCCCAGTTTTTGAGTGATACTCTTCTAAGAAAACTAGTTGTTTTTCAAATTTGTGTTATTAAAATTTGTATTATTTAAAATATATTGAGTCATTTAAGTAGTTTCCATTTGGTTACTATGTACCGATCTCTGCCTTTCAAGTTATTTTCACTAAAAAATTCTAAGCAAAATGAGTGTAGCCAGTAGTTCAAAAGAGCCACCACAAAAAACTTCTCAAAGCTGCTAAAACTTTAAGTTCTTTTTCTTTTCACATTCTTTCTGATACGGAAAAGGAAATGGATTGTAAATAATGTTCAAATCCACCCCTGGAATGGGCTTCTGGCTTTCTGCTGTTTTGAGTTCCACTCAGGGACCGGGTGCTCCTGACAGCTGAGTTGGGCCTTTTGTGGTTCCAGTGGCAGGTTGGCTGTCAGAAGTCATAGGTGTTGCCTAGCACATTCATTCAGTCTTGGATTGTAAGGCAAACTGAGTTTCTGGAAATTCAAAAATAACTAAAACACAGCCTCCATTAATTTAAAAAGAGGACTTATTCTCAGAATAGAAGATAAGTTAGCTATTATCTTTGAGAATGAATACAAAGGGTTTTGAGTGAGCTCAAAGGCAGCCCAGTCTGTGTAGTCACACACCCCAGTCACAGATGCCCTTGGTGGGCTGCGCCAAGTGAGGTAGCGAGGTTTGTCAGCTAACCTCTCATCCAGGAGCGTGGCCGTGGAAGGTAACAATTGGAGACCCAGCCAGCCCAGCCTTGAAGCCAGCTGGGCCTTTGGCCCTGACCTACCTGTTTGGAACATGACTTCATTGACCTGCCAGCTTTACGATTTCTCAAATTTAGATCACGAGAACTCCAGAATTCTAGAATAGTAAAATTTGATAGCAAAAATGATGATGGGAATAGAATGTAAATTTGCAAAATTATCCATGTAATGGGTATGATTTCACTTAGTGCATGTGAATTGTGAAGGGTGAACTTGATAAAAATAGTTCTGGGGCATAAAAGAAGAATGCTTTTTTCTGTAAAGCATCATGACTTTACGTTTACTCGGGGCATCCAAAATACTGAAGTTGTAACTGGTTAATGGTCCTGCTGAGTCTCTGATCGCTTGGGTTTTAATCGCATCAGAAAGAACTTTCTAGCCTTCTGTGGCTGATAATGTATAGAAAAAACTAGTTAGGCACATAAGCTCTTAATCGTTTGCCCTGATTTCAGCTTTTATTTTAATAAAGGGGAAAAGTAGTGTGCTTACTTGACCTCTATTCTAAATCTTAAAGGAAGGAAACTTATTTTCAAGTCTTAATTTGAGAGTCACCCTTCCCTCGCATTTCCTGAAAATACAGCCCTTTGATGCTGATTAAAACTGGTTGTGATTTTTAGTAGCCAAAATTGAGACTGCCGGGCGTTCACAGTCTCAGCACGCTCTAAGTCACTGGCAAGCCGGTGCTCCTGTAGCGTGCAGCGCTGGCCTGCTGTTCCTCTAGACAATCGTGTGTGTCAATGTAGCAGTTGAACTTTAAAGAGGAGAGTTCTGGGCGGCCGCCTTCTAACCAGCAAGATCTCTCTTGTTTGTAGGTGCCGTGAGCGATGTGGAGATGCAGGAGCATTATGATGAATTCTTTGAGGTGAGACCATGGACTGCACACCTCCTCACCGTATCTGCTTGGAGGGATTAACACTCACCCCCTGAACACACATGAGTGCAGTTAGTGACACCGGGCTTGGCTATTTCACAGTCCTTAAACCACTGTGTTCTCCCTTCAGGAGGTTTTTACAGAGATGGAGGAAAAGTACGGGGAAGTCGAGGAAATGAACGTCTGTGACAACCTAGGAGATCACCTAGTGGGGAACGTTTATGTCAAGGTAGGACACTGGTTAGCTGGCTGAGCCTGGTGACCAAGGACTGTTGTTGCCCTTTGAGCTGCTGGCCTTAAGATCATGAATGTGGGAACTTAGGAATTTTGATGTGGTAACTCAGCACTCCCAGTCGTGGCTTTGATATCGGAGGCCGCCAGCCTACACCCTGTCAACAGGATTGGGAGGAAGGACAGTGCACCATGGTTGTCATCAATGGCAAGGGACATAACTGGGTTAGAGCTGTTTTGACTAGGGGCAATTTTATGTTTTGTGTCTTTTTCCTTTTTGTTTAATAAAATGCATTGCCTATGCAATCACCTTTGCTCTTAGCATGTTGAATTTGAAAATGAATGCAACATTTAGCATGGTCTTGGGCTATAATGAAATTAATTGTTTAAAAAAAAAAAAGGAGCCATTGACTTCTGACTTCTCAGTAGTTGTTCTGCACCACTATACCACCCTAGAAATTTCACCTCAGTGTGTAACATGTAGCAGGATTGATGACTGAAAATGTGTTACTAAGGTGAGTGGCAAGCAGTTTTGTTTTTGTCTTTCCAGTTTCGCCGTGAGGAAGATGCAGAAAAGGCTGTGATTGACCTGAATAACCGCTGGTTTAATGGACAGCCAATCCATGCTGAGCTGTCTCCTGTGACCGACTTCAGGGAAGCCTGCTGCCGCCAGTATGAGATGGGGTGAGTGCAGGGCAGACAGCAAAGCCGCGTGTGGGCTGCGCATGCTCCAGCCCTAGCAGTGCATGACACACTTCTGGCTTTGACCCACAGAGAGTGCACACGAGGAGGCTTCTGCAACTTCATGCATCTCAAGCCCATTTCCAGAGAGCTGCGGCGGGAGCTGTATGGGCGCCGTCGCAAGAAGTGAGTACTCAACAGCATGTGTGCTGTAGAACTTAATTTCACCCAAGACTAAATAGACTTCATTCCATTCTTCAAAAGGCACCTATTATTTATGTGTATGTGTGTGTATTCTGTTTTTTAATGTGAAATATGCTTTTTGAAGGATGTTCACGATTTTATTTCTGAAGTGGAAATCAAACCTTAGTCACCAGAAATGTTAAGAAGGAGACCACTGAAATTCAGTGTGTGCGATAGTTTACTCTCCAGTTAGGTATTATAGCTTCCTTTAAATACCATGTGCCTGTTGGTTCCTTTTGATTTTGGGGGGAGTTGCTTCATTTTCTCTTGATGGGTGTCAGTTCTCTGTTTCTACTACTGACAAAATTGGGTGCAGCAGTTAAGTCACAGCAGAGAAAGTCAAGGCATTAGGGGTGAATAGGAAGAGTCACGCTTTTGGTTAGGCTGAATTCTGATCTTAGAAGGGTTCTCATCCCTCTCTTGTTAAACATGTGTCAGGAAATGGAGTAGTGGGGGATCCTCTGTCGCTACCAACAACAGGAAGCAGAGGAGAAAAAGAACTCTGCTCTCCTGCCCCAAAATAGGCCTCCTGGGCTCAGTAGTGGGTGTCCCTGGGGGGAGGGCCTGCTCAGAGTTGGGGGCAGGGTGTGTGTCAGGATCATGTATTATGGTGCTTTCCCGTGGTCATGTGAGTTGTTACTGGAGGAAGACGTAGAAGGTGGCGGGGTCATACTTAATTGATGTTAAGATGCACATCTTTGTCCCAAGACTATCTGAAGCGCTTCTCCCTTCAAAAGGGCTGTTGGCTGTTGCATTTTCAGGAGTGTTGGTGCTGATTGCATGTTCCTTTCCTTGATTGCAGGCACAGGTCCAGGTCCCGATCCAGGGAGCGGCGCTCTCGGTCCAGAGACCGTGGTCGTGGCGGTGGAGGCGGCGGAGGAGGTGGGGGCCGCGAGCGTGACAGGAGGCGATCGAGAGATCGTGAAAGATCTGGGCGATTCTGAGCCATGCCATTTTTACCGTATGTCTGCTAGAAAGTGTTGTAGTTGATTGATCAAACCAGTTCATAATGGGAATTTTTTTTAAAAAACAACAAAAAAAAAACACAAAGATGGGTTTCTGAATAAAATTTGTAGTGATACAGTATTCCTGGTGTAACTTTTTTCTTTTGGAAAGTTTTTAATTTAAATTTTCTTTATGCCAGTGATTCATTTTCAAGGTAAAGATTATGTGCACATCTTGCTTTGGGTATAAATGAAAGTGTTTTATATTTTGCTTAAATAAGCAAAACACACCAGGTGAGACGTTCATGCAGGAAAGTCAACTCCAGGTACATGCCTATTAGGTGGCCCAGAATTTCTCCTCCCGCCTGGTCACGAAGCCTGTGGAGTCTGTCCTCGCCAGTCAGGAGCCACCCCCTTTCAGCACATGTTCTGGGGCACAGGAGCCTGCTCTGCGGTGAGGGGGTCCCAGACATTGTCGTTTCCTCTTGTTCAGTTTTGCTGGAAGAGCAACAGTACTTGTTTGAAACAGTGACAGTTAAACGTGCTGTTGTGTACTGTCACATTGGTGTGTGTGGAAATGAGTTTTGTCTGTTCATGGTATGGCCAGAGGTGTGTGGGGGGGGTCAGTGACAGCTCCTGGTGAGTAGGGGGTCACATTCCCATCCCTGTACTCCCCCTGACCCCGGATGTCAGAACAGGAATTTCAGTTGGTCTAACGTTCGGATGTAATTGTGCAGATTCTTGTTTCCTCAACTGATCTGAGAGGGGCAAGGTGGCAGAAGTTGTACTTTGTGTCTAATAACTACCTGCTATTAGCTTTTCCTCCATTTTAAACATCTATTTAAAATGTAAATGGAAAATGTCATTAGAAGTGTTTTCAGACATTGTTGTTGAAGATGAGCTGTCTGGAAGAGATGGCCCGAGACGCCAGAACACTGTTGCTGCTGTCTGTCGTGTGCCTGGCCAGTTGGTGAAGTACAGCCTAACAGTGTAGGCTGGTGCAGAGGCAAATGAAGCCATACTTCTCAGTTCAGGATTGCCTGTTTGCCAAAACAACCAGTGATTTATTTTACAGTCACAATTCAAAACACAGGAAACAATACTTTTACAGTTTCCAATGCTTCGTCCTTGGGGATGGTCTTGTATACTGCCATGTCTTGTAGGACTCTACCATGGCTACTCTTCAGTTCCACTCGAGTCTACTGGTTCCCAAGCTGGAAGCACAGTTTGTGTAAATTCCCCAGAAGTGTGGTGCTCAGCAGAGGGTTTCCAACTCTCAGATTGCCCAATGGGATTTTCTAACTTCCTTTCATCAATTTCTCCTAAATTTTGTAAAAGAATATATATATTTTTTTTTTTTCTTTTTTTTCTGGAAATGAGGCTTCATGGGTTTGTGTTCTGTGCACAGGGACTTCTCACTACCTATGAGGAAGGCACAGCCCCTGAGTAGGCTCAACTTGCTCTCTGAGAGCTGACGACCTCAACTCCAGGGCTTTTTGGCATTCATGGGCTTCACTAGCACAGCAGGGTGTGGTGATATTCTAGGTACACACCAGACATGGCGCGAGAAGGACCTGCTGAATGCCTGGTTAGCACTTTGGATATTCCAGCTGATGGTGCAGGGGATAGCAAGGGCCTTGCCATGGTCTGCATGTGGTCATAATGGTCAAGTGCCCATTATGATTGACGGCTTAGTCCTTGGGGTGGCACTGTCTGGAGTGGTAGAACCCTTGGGGGATGGGCTCTAGTGGGAGTTCCTTGGATAACTGGGGTGTGCTCTTTAAGGGGATTGTGGGACCCTAGTTTTTCTGACTTGCTGTTTGGCAGTGTAAGTTAAGTTCTTCCACACATACCTCTGCCAGGATGTGCTGCCGTTGAGAACTGAGCAGTGCTAGCACCATGCCCTTGAACCTCCAAAACTGAACTAATATTTCCTCTTTTTAAAGTTAGCTGGCTTGGGTGTTTTATTATAGTGAACAGAACTACACGACAGGCTTTTGCCTGTGGTTCACTTGAGCAACTTGGGAAGGGGTCTAGGAGAGGCCTTTTGTGGGGCAGCATTATTCCAAAGGTTTTGGACATAGCAAAACTGGAACTGGGCCATGAGGAATGCGTGTTGAATTACCTTCCCTCAAAATCTCCATAGGCAAGGGGAGTTGAGGTTGACATAAGACAAAGCGGGAAGATGGATCTTCACCCCAATTAACCCACTTGCCTTTCTGAGAATCGGAATCTCACTTTGCAGGAGCAGAGACAGGCTGGTGCCTTGTTCTGTCATAGTGTCTGTGATCAGCAATGCTGGTGTTCAGACTCCAGCCTGCCAGCCTGCCCTGCCCTGCCCTGCCCTGCCCTGCCCCTGGAGATGGAGCTGCCTCAGGTGAATGCTAAGGTGGCTGATGAGGCCACTGACAAGGAAGAGCCAGGACCCAGTGCTTCACATCTCATTGCCCAAATCATTGCTGCCTTTTTAATCAGAAATCCTTTATATGGAGTGAGTGTGGCACTGAAAGAACCCATGGCACAGAGGTACATGCAGGGACCCCAGCTCTAAAAGTGGCACAAAAGCACAAGTTACCACAGACTAGCAGCACAGCATAGTACATGTGCCACAACAGAGTGGGATTCACTCCAGTAATTCAAGGATGGGGAGCATGCTACAGGGACACTGCTACATCGATGTTCATAGCAGCACAATTCACAATAGCAAGACTGTGGAACCAACCTAGATGCCCTTCAATAGATGAATGGATAAAAAAAATGTGGCATTTATACACGATGGAGTATTACTCTGCATTAAAAAATGACAAAATCATAGAATTTACAGGGAAATGGATGGCATTAGAGCAGATTATGCTAAGTCAAGCTAGCCAATCCCTAAAAAACAAATGCCAAATGTCTTCTTTGATATAAGGAGAGTAACTAAGAACAGAGTAGGGTCAAAGAGCATGAGAAGAAGATTAACATTAAACAGGGATGAGAGGTGGGAGGGAAAGGGAGAGAGAAGGGAAATTGCATGGAAATGGAAGGAGACCCTCAGAGTTATACAAAAGTACATACAAGAGGAAGTGAGGGGAAAGGGAAAAATAATACAAGGGGGACAAATGAATGTCAGTAGAGGGGGCAGAGAGAGAAGAGGGGAGGGGAGGGGAGGGGAGGGGGGATAGTAGAGGATAGGAAAGGCAGCAGAACACAACAGACACTAGTATGGCAATATGTAAATCAATGGATGTGTAACTGATGTAATTCTGCAATCTGTATATGGGGTAAAAATGGGAGCTCATAACCCACTTGAATCAAAGTGTGAAATATGATATATCAAGAACTATGTAATGTTTTGAACAACCAACAATAAAAAATTTAAAAAAAAAGGATGGGCTTTTTCAAGGCTGATCTGTCCTGGGCATGGCTTCTTGGAGACACCCAGTTATGCTTATGTTGTATTTCTTCCTCGTCTGATTAGTGCATGATGCATACAGCAAGGTATGCTTGCTCCTCTGTGTGCTCCACTGTGCTAAAGATGACCAGAAAACATGAGGAGAGGTTGAAGGGCGACAGAACTCATGGCTCTGGTGGGCCATGGGAAGACCTAGCTGGGGTCCTGCCTGGTGGAGGAGGGATTGCGCTGCAGTGTGTGTGTGAATGTTGGAGGCAGCGTCCGGCTGCAGTTTGGAGTGATACACGGAGAAGGGGCAAGAGTGGAGAAGCCTGACCAGGCAAGGGTGGGGGGGGGATTCTCCATGTTCTTAGCACTCTGATGGGGTGCACTGGTGGGTGCTGTTTTAATTTGCATATCCCTGGTGACTAGTGACACTGCACCTTTTCACGCTGTTGGCCATTTGCATATCATTATGAAGGACTTCTTCTTTAAGTCTTGTCTATTCAAACAAAATGTTGACTGAGTTGGCTGTTTGTGGCTCGTTCCTCGGGCCCTCCTCAGAGTGTGGAGATGAGTCCTTTGTTGATGTACACTGCACACACTTGCCCCAGTGTTCGGATTGATTTTTACCTTCCCAACTTCCTGCTGATATTCTACCCTGAGCTTTTTTTTTTTTTTTTTTTTTCCATGTTCAAGTCCAATTATCTCCAGTCATTTCTTGTGTTTGTGTGAGATTGATTTTTCCTGCGTTCAGGTCAGCTGCTCCATCAGGGTCACTGCATGTGGCCACTTTCCTCACTGAACTACAGGGCTCTGTGTGCTAAATCACTGACCACGGAGACTCTGGGTTCTCTTGGTCTTCCCTTTATCTGTGTGCTGTGGACAAACAGGATGTGGGCCAGCAGGACTGATGGTCAGTCAGGCAAAGACGAGAGGACTGAGATGCCTCCAAGGAGTTTCACCTGCGTAGATTTGTTTTTCACTTTCATCAACTTTTATTACTGATGGCACTGATTAAAGAAATAATTCAGGTTTTAAGGCCAACAAACTTGTAAGACCACCCCCATGCACGTGTTGGCCTTGGGACAGCCCACCTGAAGGAGGACATGGGTCTGCGGAGTGTGCGCTGTCACCAGGACGGCTGCCTGTTGCGAGGCTGGGAAAGGGATGAAAGACTAGGTCCCCAGGGTGTGAACCTTTTAAACAGGTAGTGTCCTGCAGCCCAGAAAAGTGACACGCAGAGTCAGGGCCTTGTCACCACACATTCGGACAATTCAGGAAAGAATCGTCCTAGGAAAGATGGGGCTGAGAGGCCAGGTGCAGTACTGTGGATGTCGTCTCCTGGGAACACAGTAACCCAGTATTCCTCAGTGTCCTCTCTGCCCACTGGGCTAAGAAGGTGGTCACTCAGGGTAGGCCTCTGCTAAGGAAAAGTCTCGTCATCCACAAAGCCACATCCCTAGTACCCACCAATACTCCTCGGTGATCCCCCTAGTTCTCTGGATTAGCAGTTGACTTCTCCTAGAAGGTTTTGAGCCACGCCCCAGTGAACTAATGACCACCTACAGCCAAAGTGAACTCCCCGCCCCAGCCACTGGCTCAGGTAGTAGTGGGCCCCGCTGTCCATGAGGCTCCCATCCCAGCTGCTTTGTAGGAGACCCCATGAGAATGAGCCGGCCTTCTAAGACTGCCTGAGATTGAAAATTCGGCCCTTCCCACTGTCGGGTCCCTGAGAGAGAACAGACTCCAAACCTGAAATTGCCTTTCCCCTCTTCAATCTTCAAAAATATGGAAGTTTGAGGTCTTTGAACTATTTTTTTTCCCCCACCATATCTCAATCAAATAGTCCTGAGACCAGCCAGGTGGCAGTCCTCCCTGTACCAAGGACAGCAGGACAAAAAAATCCAGAGCCTCTGCAAGTCCACGTGGCCCTTTCAAGAGAGTCCAGCATTCAGAGCATGGCAGGACTGTGGGCCTGTCCAAGGGGGTGGTTTCTAAGTGGTGAGGTCACTGGAGAAGGTGACCCATCCCTCGTCCCCAGTGGGGACCCTCGTCTCGGGACAGACAGCAGTCTGGCTCAGAAGTGCCGTGTCTGCAGTGCGCTTCCCCGGGCAGGAGCACCCTGAAAGGGCACATACCAACCTCAACAGCCAAGCTTCAACGTGGAGGCGCTGCCTGTACTGGCTGGTGGACACTGCTCAGGGAACTGGGATCCTGTGAAGTGTCCTTTTGTTGTAGGTCGAAAAAGGTCAGTGGCTTAGTCTGTTTTTTGTGTTCCTGTAACAAAATAGCTGGGACTAGGCACTATATAAGAGGTTTAACCCAGACTTGGTGGCATGTGCCCATAGTCCCAGCTTCTTAGGAGGCTGAGGCAAGAGGACCACTTGTCTCAAGGATTTGAGACCAGCCTGGACAACATACTCCCCATCTTAAAACAAATTAATTAATAGATGTGTTTGGTTACAATCCTGGTGGCTGGGAAGTCTAAACAGCATGCCAGTGTCCTTGTGAGGGCCAGTGGCTCCATGGGAGCCACCACAGAGGGACCTCCCCAGGCCCCTGTCCCTGCACCTGCAGAGCACTCTGCCCCTCTGGCCTTCCCTGTCGCTGGAGGCTCCCCTGGTGAGAACGTGGTACCCCCTCCTGCACCCACTGTCCCTTGAGCCTTGCCTTCCTCTAGCCCTGGTCTCATTTCTGCATCCCCTTTTGTGACAAAGGGAAGTGGCTAGGGCCATGGGGGCCACATGTCCTCGTCTTCTGACCTGCCCGCTCCTCAACCCTCTCTGAGATTTCTACCCCATTGAGGCACAGAAACCACACTGGCCAGGGCTGCCCCCACCATCGAATCCAGCGTCCTGCCAAGCGCTCCTCCCTCCTGGGCCCTGGCAGGGCCTGGCCGGCTGGAGCGCCCTTTTCCCTGAGCATGCCATCCACTCGGCCTGCCTGGCCACAGTGGCCCCCGACACTCCAGGAAGTGAATGTTTTCTGGCCTCTCACTTTACCACCCCCACCTACAGGTGGCATCTTCTCTCCCGTGGCTTCAGGTAGCACCAGTTAACTGACTCCTTCCAAATTCAGGCTCCTCTCCAAATGACTGACTAGTTTACCCGGTGGCTACTGGGCACCTCTGCCCCTTGGTGCCCAGCTGCTGGGACTCCACATGTGTAGTCCTGCACACCATCTCCTGGCCTTTCTGGGCAGACCTCACACTGCAGGCCTCTGCCTTCCAAATGCTGCTCACCAGCCTGGAGCAAGGCCACCTGCTAAAGCAGTGGACAGGGGCAGCCCTTTCCCCCACACAGCCAATTCTCACAGACACAAGCCTGCTCCTGAGCGTGCGAAGCCCCAGCAGGATGAGCCAGAGTCGAGGAGATGGGTGGGGCACACGGCACAGCATTTCCCGCACATGTCTAGCTTTTGGAATGATGGTAACAATTCACACGCTTGTAAAAACAAAAGAGGTGAAGGAGCAGGGACCCCAAAGCCGAACACCAACACAAACGAACCCCGCTGAGGGGGTGAGTGCCCTGCTCCTGGGGCCTTTGATGGCAACACTTGGACCTTGTGCCTTCAGCTAAAGACACAGATAATGACGCAAAGCTGACTCTCAGCAATGGTAATGTTTTACCCAGAGGCACGAGTTCCAGTCCAACACTGACCCCGCACATTGTGAGATTGAGCAAGCGGGTGTTGGGCCGGACAGCATGAGCTGAAGTGGGGAAGTGGCAGTTACCAAACCCAAGTGCCCTTACTGACTCAGGAGAAGCCGGGCCTAGGAGGAAGACTTCTTTGGAAAGCCAGAATCCCAGAGGATGGGGCTACGGCCATCGAGGCCATCTTAGTGCACTGAGGCACTCAACAGGCTGGACGGGAGAGGAGCAGGGGCACCAGGCAGGGAAGAACTCGGCTGGAGACTTCCAGCTGCTGCCCCGGTGGCCTGACAGGAAGTTGTCCTGGTGACTCTTATCTGGGTGTCTTCAGCCCTTAAAGTGGGGGGAGAGATTGGGTAAGTTCAGGTCAAAACAACCAGTATTGTTGTTCTGGACAAAATATGCCGTCAGTGATTAATATGCTGTATGCAGAGCCAAGCAGAGACCTGCCTAGAGACAAGACAGCAGAGGAGACAGATGTGAAGACACAGCGAAGGCCCTGGAGAGTCACCAAGGTCACCATTATCATAAGCCACACATCATGGTGACATCTAGAGCAAAGCCAGTGTGGGATCGATGAAGCTTTGCTCAGCTGCTGGTCAGCTGGAAACTAGGGAAAGTGCAGGGTGTGTCCAGGCTCCCCTGGGAGACAGAGGGTGAAGGAACCCTCGGCTAGGTTTGGACCTGAAGGAGTCATGTGAGCCCCCCAGAACCATCTTTCCAGCTGGTTCTGGGTAGTAACTGGTTCGGTGTGTATACGTGGGGGTCTCCCTGTATTTACTAAGAGGGTCCAGAGAGGACCACCCAGTAGCCATGAGCACATCTGGGGCCTGATCTGGGTTCTAACTGCCACGGTCAACTGAGAGGAAGGACTGCTGCCCCCACCCTTAGGCAGCCAAGACTAAGTGCAGAGGCCAGGTTGCTGGGGATTGAACCCAGGGTCTCACACGCATGTACTAGGCAAGAGCTCTACCACGAAGCTACGTCTGTCTCCTTCCTGTGTTTTAACTTTATTTTTGAGACAGGGTCTCACCAAGTTGTCAGACTGGCCTCAAACTTACTATCCTCCTCCCTACCTCAAAATAAAAAATAAGAAGGGCTAAGAGTACAGCTCGGTTGTAGAGCATCCATGGGGTCAATCCCCAGTACCAAAACAGAAAAAAAAACAACCTGCCTCCATCAGCTCCATTCATTTCTAAAAGATTAGCACTTTCTCTTTTTTCATGGTACTGGGCACTGAACTCAGGGACACTCTACCACTAAGCCACAGATCTGCTGCTCCTTTATATTTTTCTATTTAGAGACAGGGTCCCACTAAGTTGCTGAGGTTGGTCTCCAATTAGCAATGCTTCTGACTCAGCCTCCCAAGTTGCTGGATTATAGGCATGTGCCACTGTGCACAACCACTGGTTACGTCAGAAGTCCAAAGGCGGGGCTGGGGTATGGCTCAGGTGGTAGAGGGCTTGCTTCATATGCACAAGGCCCTGGGTTCAATCCCCACACCACAAAAAGAAAAAAGTCCCAAGGTGGAGAGCATGTGGCGGAGGAAGAATCACCCCCACACCCAATGGAAGGTGTATCTTGCTGTGGTTTCAAAGCACAACATCTGAAGTTTAGGAATCTTTGGGAAGAATTTTTCTTTTTTTTTTTTTTTTTTGTCAGTGCTGGGGATGGAACGCACAGCTTTGTGCTGGGCAAGCATTACACCATTAAGTTACATCCCCAGGTCCTGGAGTTTGAACCGCTGGGGGCACACTTCCACTGAGCTACAACCCTACCCCTTTTTATTTTGAGACAGAGTCTTGCAAAGTTGCTGATACTGGCCTCTAACTTGCAATCCTCCTGTCTCAGCCTCCTGAGTTGCTGGAATTATAGGTGTGTACTACTGCACCCAGATTCAGCCCCCTTTGTAACTATTTTTTAAATTATACACTTACGTGCAGTTTCTTTTCTTTTTCTTTAGCAAGAGATGGCTTACCTGTAGCTGGAGGTATAGGTAAGGGAAGGAATATTGGGAAAGGGGAACAGGGATGACTGTTAATGGGTACAAGATTTCTTTTGGGGGTGACAAAAATGTTGAAATTAAATCGTAGTGAGTTTCACGACTCTGACTACTAAACACTTGTGTTTATTTTAAAATCCATTGTGCATTTTCAATAATAAAACACGCTTTCTTCTCCCATTTTTCTTTTGAGATGGGGTCTCCCTGTGTTGCCAGCCCCTGCCTCAGCTCCTGTGCAGCTGCACTGCAGGCCCGCAGCCTCACACCCAGCTAAATGTCTGTGTGGAAAAAAACGAACCTATGCATCCACACTAATCTAAATAAAAGAGAGAATTAGGCAGGAGGCGATTCTCTTAACACATGTGATGCCCAGTGACAACACACAGTCTAGAAGACTCAGGGTTTGGCAAATATTTTAATAAGAACTGATTCAGACGAAATCCATTAATAAGTGTTAAAACTAGGGAATGGCTGAGTCTCACAGAACATTCACATCGTTATAAAACATGCCTCGAGAGACACTTATTAGTGACCAAGATAAGGCCGTAGCTTCGCAGTGGAGAAGCCTGTGGAGGCTCCTTACCCAGGTCCCTGTCAGCACCACAGGAGGCAGCAGGACCTGGCACTCAGTCTGGATCAGGACGTACATCCCACCCATGGCCTTCAGCCAGGTGGCTGTCCCCTGGGTCTGTAACGAAACATGAGGCACATCCAAGTCAAAACACCTTGCAAAAGGTCTGTTCTGTACACTCTGCCTGCCTCCCTGGGCGAGGCCCAGCCTGTGATCCTGGCAACTCGGAGGCTCAGGCAGGAAGACAGCAGGCTCCTGGCCTGGCTGGGCAGGAGTCTTCCCAGAACAGGAAGGGCTGGAGATGCGGCTCAGGAGTCCAGCATCCTGGGCTCAATCCCCAGAGCCAACAAAGGAAAAAGCCACCTCCTGAGACACAAGGAGTGACCAAGAAACTGCTCCACAGAAGGAGAGGTGGAAGAGACTGCCCTCAGGCACTTGCTGCAAGCCTGGGGGCCACCAGAGCCAGGGGGAGCAGGGACATCACAGTCTGCAACTCCGCTCAACTACCAAGTGGCCAGACAGTGTGTGTGAGGAGGGGACTAGGAGGGGAGCCAGCAGACTAGTAAGAACATCAACATTTGGAAAGTTTTGCAAAAGGGCTCTGGTAATTCTTTGTATTGTTCTTGCCACTTTTCTGACAGTCAGAAATATCTATACATATGGACTTTAAAAAAAAATTGGTCTGCCACAACAAATTACCAGAAACTTGGCTTAAAACAAACATAAATGTGTCATCTCCCAGTTCCAAGCGCAAATGAGGTCTGGCAGTGCCAGAAGGCTGGAGTGGAGGGAGGCCCGAGGGAGGCCCGAGGGAGGCCCGAGGGCAGCTCCCACCACAGCCACCTTCTCGGGTAGCTCCACGTTTTTACATGGCCTTCTCCTGCGTGTGTGTGTGTGTGTGTGTGTGTCCAAATTCTTCTCTTTCCACAAGACTCGGGTCACAGGGGATTTAGTCCCCACAAGGGTTCCCGGGTTCCACTTCCACCACCCCAGAGCTGTTTCCAGGGCCTTGCTCACAGGGCCCAGGGTTAGGAAGTCTAATATTGGGGAAACTGGGAGGGGGTGCTTCGGGATTTTTGTGCTGTTCTTGCCACTTTTATGATAAAAGAAATGCTGAGATTAAAAAAAAAAAATCAGAACACGTTCAAAACCTCCTAGCTTGAAACGCTCTAAGGGACGACCCTTTGCTGAAATCCAGACCCTGGCCTCTGCCCTACAGGGCCCCCAGAAGCCGCGGCCCTTCCCTCCCTGCCTGCGGCGGTGACTTCAGCATGTCCTCCGACCCGCCCCAGGCATTACCCATGCAGTTTTCAGCAGGGAACATTCTTCTCCAGAACAAGATGTGGCTCCTCCGTTCCGGGCTCAGACGTCACCTGTGCAGTGAGACGTCTCCTGCCTCTGGTCCAACGGGAGCTCCCACATTCCTGCGCCTTGCTCTCCACCCAGGGCTCCTGGTCATACCAGGCGCCCTTCCCCAGACTGAGCTCCTGCGCCCGGTGAACCAGTGCCGGCGCCGGTGGCCAGCGCAGGCGCCCCTGGCAACGCCTGCAGGCACCTCCCTAGACCCGTCACTCATCTTAGGTCCCGGGATAACTCAACCGTCGGGGACACCTGTTGAGCCAACGGGGACGGGGCACCGAGATCGGCCTCTTCCCCAGCCGGAGCGCAGCGTTCGGGCACCGCGATCAGCGCCCCCTCCGGGCCGGCCATCGCTGGAGCCTGGTACCAGGAGGGCTACGGGGACATTTCCGTCCCACACCGCTCCTGTGACTTTTGGTCAAGCGCCTTCCGAGCGTCAGGTGGCCCCGTCCAGCGGGAGCGGTCACCGAGCCCGGGAACCGCGGAGCCTGGGAAGGGGGCGTTCTGCAGAGGGGCCTCCGGCAGCTCGCTGGCACAGGAAGCCGCCGCGGGGACACCGTCCTAGGCCCCGGGCGCCGACGTGGACTCGGCGACAAACCTGGGATCCAGCCTCAGGGGTAGCAGGACCCCCACTCTCGACACCGCTCGCTTCCCGAACTCAGCCGCAAATCCTTCTCAGACTCCAGGTGCGACAAGTTCACCAGGTGAGACCCGGACCCGGGGACTCAGGCAGCGCCACCCGCTGTCCCGCCGACGGAGGGGGTCCAGGGAGCTGGGCCAGGGGAGGGGGCGGGCGGGCGGCGGAGCGGGGCGGGAGGCCACGGCCCCGAGGTGGGGGTGGGGGAGTAAGATGGGGGCGGGCGGGGGTCGGGGGAGGCGGGCCAGGGCGGGCCGGCTGGGGTGGGGGCAGGGCGGTGGGAGGGGGCGGGGCCGAGCGGCGCGCGAGGGCCGGACGCTCTGCGCCCAGGGATTGGCCGGCACCGGCCCTCCGCCCCCGCCGCTGGGCCAATCGCCTCCGCCCACTGTCCGCCGCCGGGTCCACCGAGGCCCGCCAGCCCCCGGGGTCTTCTCCTCCTCGCCGCCGTCGGGGCTGCAGCTCACCCAGGCGCACCGGACCGGACCGCCCAGCCCGCCTCGCTTTCCCGTTTCTGCATCCAGGTGAGCTCCGGCTCGCAGAGACCCTTGGCGCCTTGGACCGAGGGCCTCGCAGGGGTCCGATCGCCCCACCCGCACTCCCCTACGCGTGGGCGCCGAGTTGCATCATCTGCACGGGGACACGCGGAGCCAGGCCATCCCACGTGCCCGGCCGTGCTCCGGGTCTGAGCGGTGGGTCCCTTCCCGCCTCCAGCGCCCTTCCCTCTGCCCCCGGCAGCCCTCCCTTTCCTCGAGTCCAGAGGGCCCTGAAGCTCAGAAATAGGTGTCCAGTTGGCCCGGCCCCCACCCCAATCCTTGGGTCCGCGGAGCGAACCGTGCTGGCCCGGCGCGCCAGAGCGTGGAGCCGGACCGCGGGAATGTCGGGGAGACTGTGTTGGTGTAGATGGTTGACTTAAAGGTGCATTTGGGTGGGAAAAGACTTTCTCAAATTGCTCTTACCGCAGGTACAGGGGGGTGGGCATGTGAGGTGGTGCTGGCGGGGTACGGCGTGTTACTGGGGGTTCTTATCCCGTATGCCAGTCCAATAACAAGGACAGTTTTGAGAAAAAGGAAAAGGAATGTTTATTGCTTTTGTCACGGGAGACTCCAGTCCCAAAGGCTGAGATTCTGCCCATTAGGGGACTAGGGCTTTTCAAGCCGAGACTCAAAGGCTACTTTCCACGTGTTCTCCATCCGGGCTGCAATTCACTTGTTAATTTGGGGGATAATCATTTCTGAGATATTCTGTTCCTTCCCCAAAGTCAGGATCACTTCATTCCCATGGTGGGTGTGTGCGCAGACACCTCTGCCTAGGGTGGGGAGGAAAAGTGACCCTCTTTTCCCTGAGGTTAGGGAGGAGCTGGGAGAGAGGAAGAGAAAGGGATGTAGCTCTGTTGGTAGAGTGCTTATCTTGCATGCACAAGGCCATGGGTTCAATCCCCAGCACCAAAAAAAAAGAAAGAAAGAAACAGGTCCATTTTAAAAATCAGTTGCAGTGGCAGAGCAGCAAGGGCCAAGTCAAAGCCTAAAGTGGACCCTGTTACATTTCCCCACTGACAGTTTTACACTTCATTTCAATGGAAAAATCGGTGACAACATCTCCAAGCAATTACCTGTTGAAAGAGGGCAAATTGGGGGAAATAACCGGAAGTTTTTGTTCTCTATCAGGTGGGGCATGGACAGTGAAGGGCATTCAGCATCAGAGCAGTCAAGGCATCCACAGGGCGGGGGTCGTCCGAAGACAACAATAGAGACAGCAAAGCTTTCCTTTTTTGTACACAATTAGCGCAGAAGCAGTTAGTATTTCAACCAGTCTCTGAAAACCGTGAAGACAGTAACTCATAATCTGATCTGTGAAAAACAGATCCAGTTTACAATGTATGAGGTTAGGAAGATTTGTAGATCTAGGACAGCAGGCCCAAATTAACTCAGGACAGACTGCAGCCTAGAGTCCTTTAGAACATCACTTTTGGGCACTGTCACACAGAACCCTTCCTATATAGCCAACACCTTTACTTACTTTGGGTAGGGCTGTCACCATCTTAAGTTACATTTAAAAACAAAACATTGTTTTTCCTTTTAAAAGTCCCTGTAGGACTGTGCTTTAGGCCATACTGCCTCTCCTGCCAAAACTGACCCCGTTCCTATCTACTCTTAAGAGTCCACCGAGATGCCTCAGGGATCACTCTTGGTGATAAAGCCTCCTGGCTCCCTTAGCTTTCCTCTACCAAGTGGTGCCACTTGCCAGGATGGGTCCAGGTCTGGTTGACCCAAGTGGCTTCTCTTGGAAGCATCAGGGACACTTCCCTCTCCAGTAACCCTCCTCTTTACGAGTGTGCACTGGTTGGCTTCCTGTTCTCTGGGTCCTCTTGGTCTCCCCATCCCCAGATCAGGTGACTCACTAGAGTTGCAGGGCCCAGAGAGGGGTCCTATCGTTCTCGGGTCCTGGCTGACCTTAGAGGGCAAGGGCCAAAGTGTTGGCTGCTTTTCCTTGGCCCTTTCACTCCCTTGACTTGGGTCTCCCAGGTTTTTGATTTTAAACACCCAGCAAGCCAATTCCACCAGTCTTAAAAAGGGAGTAACAGGATATAACTTCAGTATGATTTTACAGACACCCTCTTCATTTAATTAGGATCAGTATTGGTCTGCAAGTCAGCATTATATACTCTGCTCTGTAGGTGGTGACTTATTATCGAATACCAGCCCAGGTTGTTTGATTAGAAGCAGTATCTCTGCAAAGCACTAACCAGCAACAGTTATAAAGTTTACAAGGAAAATAAAAAATGAAATTGACAAAGCAAAAACATTCAGTTTGTGTAATAGCTATGAGCCCAAAAAAACGATTTTAATAATTTTAAGCCTTGTGCATTATATCTTGTTAATTTTGAGATCACAGTAATCTTTTTATTTTGGTACCAGGGTTGAACTCAGGGCCACTTGACCACTGAGCCACATACCCAGCCCTATTTTGTATTTTATTCAGAGACAGGGTCCCAATGAGTTGCTTAGCACCTCTGTTGCTGAGGCTGGCTTTGAACCCCAGATCCTCCTGTCTATGCTCCTGAGCCCCTGGGATTACAGGCATGCGCCACCATACCTGGCATTACAGATAGTTAGAGAACACCAACTTCGTAAAGTGCTCCCCTAAGCTTAACTTTTAAAGTACAACTTAGAATCTGTAGTGTGTGGTAACAATAATCTGAATGGGTTAGCAGTACTAGCAAAAATCAAAAGATAGCCTTAAATCTCATCCATTTAGGAAACAGTATTAATGATCACAAATTGACTAACTCAAAGCATACAGGTATAAGACAGGTCTTCAAAGAACAGTGTGGCCCTTCTATTTCAGGTTCAAAAAAGAGAGTGCTTATTGGTTACCTTGCCAGAAAACCTAGATAAACTTCATTTTGTAAACATTTACATAACACTTAGACAAGGCTCAGGTAGAGTTCTCAGAGGCATACATATATCTAGTCACCTATTTAGGGTGTCAACTATATTGTTATAACTTAAAATGATAGTTGTTGGTTTAGCCAGGTACAAAGTAATCATTTAAGACTTTAAGCTGGGTGCTGTGGCACACACCTATAATCCCAGCAGTTTGGGAGCCTGAGGCAGGAGGATTTTTAGTTCAAAGCCAGCCTCAGGAACTTAACAAGGCCCTAAGAAACTCAGCGAGACCTTGTCTCTAAATAAAATATTAAAAAGGGCTGGGAGTATTGCTCCCCGGATTCAATTCCCACTACCCTACCCAAAAAGACTTTAAAAGGTACAAACCCTAATTCCTTTAAGACTTAAAACCTAATGGATATAAGAAAATCATATTGATAGGTAAAAGCAGATTAATGTTTCAGGCTTTGCTCCACACCAGTGCTTTAAAGTTCAGATAATTTTGAATGAATACTAATTATATCCACGTAATCACAAACACAGACTTTTTGAGATCTACCTTCTACAACTTGCTAAACATTCACAACTTCTTTGTATCCTTAGTTTGTTCTCTTTCATCTTGGACTTTAGCACAAGAATATTACTTTACCAGACAAAATATTTTCTCATCCAGAAACATTCCTTTTATCTTCTAATTTTCTGTACTGAAATATATTTCCATGCCTATGACTTTAAAAAAAAAATATTTTCTAGTTTTGGATTCTTTCTTCAACTCATTCTGAAACAATCCTTTTGCGTTTTATCTGTGCATTTGATTTACACACCACATATTTCATCTCAGGAGAGGGTTGGACAGTCTGCTACTGTGCCTTAATCTTTTTTCTCCCAGGTTGCAGTCAAAGGGTTGGAGCACAGCATGTATTGGAGTCTGACCTGTCTCCCTATTGTCACATGCCATCATCTCTAAGTGAGCTCCGCTGTCAGTTGTACCCGAGGCTTCTTTGGGGCCTTACACTAAGCATATTGATAGGCCATTCCACCCTTTTTCTTTAGGCTTCTTGAAGGTCCCTTTGAAGAGGCTGCCAACAAAATTGGTCTGCCTTAGTTTCTCTATTTTTCTTTTCTGGGTGCAGTTATTCATTCTGCCCGTCTCCCCGGGCATTCAGTTTGGTGGGATACTGTCATAGCAAGAATTGCTTTGCCCCAGTGATGAACAAATAGGGTCTCCTATCAGATCTGTTTTTGGGGGTGGGAGTTGGGTTCCAGGGATTGGACTCAGGGGCACTCAACCACCAAGCCCCATCCCCAGCCCTATTCTACATTTCATTCAGAGACAGGGTCTCAACTGAGTTTCTTATCACCTCACTGTTGCTGAGGCTGGCTTTGAACTCAGATCCTCCTGCCTCAGCCTCCTGAGCCACTGGATTAGAGGCGAGCCCCACCACACCCAGCTTCTGTCCCCAGGTCCTAAGCTAACAGAGCTGGAACCTCCTGCCACATCCCTTGCGGCCAGTAGCCCCCACCCCCAGGGCAGGTTCTGTCCCCCTCTCCACAGCCCTGGCTGCTGTTTTCTGTTCTGTTTTTGTTTTTTCCCAGTTTAGGGCTGGTGACCTTGACCGCACTGAGATGACCTCTGGCTGGCTGCTGGGGCCAGGCTGAGCGGTGGTGCTGGGGGTGCAGCACTGGGTTTGAAAGACTGAGATCCCTTTAACCCATTCTTCTGGTGTCCTGCTGTCCTTGCACACAGAGCAGTGCCTTGTGGCACTTGGGCTCCCTTCCTGCGGGCTCCACCCCTCCTGCACCCCATCAAGGCTGTGCAGAGTCTCTCTCCTACTTTACTCGGAAAGACCAACCTCAGTAATCCAGAAAGACCCTTGACAGGCCGATTGTGTTACAGGGACCCTTTTTCTCTTAGAGAGGCTCATCCCTAAAGGTGGCCCATGCAGCCAAGGTCTCTGTGCTCAAGAGACTACCAGAAAGATGGAGGCAGCAGCCGTGTATTAAAGGGCCAGTAACAGGACAGAGAGGACCACTGAGACCAGGGCTGGCAGGCGGGAGCCTGCAGACGGGCAGGCGAGAGCCTGCGGACAGCAGACCTGCCCCTGTGGACAGCAGACCTGCGCCTGCGGACAGCATACCCACGCACACACTTCTTCCACTCACTTTACCTCTGAGAGACCAACCCCAATGCAAGAGGGTACAATGATCCCAAAAGCTAACCAAAAGCCGGACGTTATAGTAAAACCTTAGGCTTCTACTGGAGCTGACCCTTTCTTCAGCTCACTTGACGATGGAACAGAAAGAAACAGAGACAGACAACCAGAGAGGAGCCCCCAAACCACGGCTGACGGACGGGCACCTTCATATTGACCTGCCAAGGTCTTCCCCAAGAGGCTCCCTACAGGATCGATGCAATTCTGGCCATGTCTAAAAGGGCAGTAACAGAGGCAAACAGACCAGCAACCGGAGGGAATTCCCAAGACAAGGCCAACAAACCGATGAGAACCTAGAACAGATCAGAAGGTTCTAGATCCCTAGGTTCTAGAGTCCTGCTTAACCAGGACTCCTACACCGATGGCCCCACAGATGTCCCCAGAAAGAGGGACTAGATGTGAATCAAGGGTCTCACTGTGTGCACCCGGGGACCTACTAGATGCCAAGGCTGTCTCGACTTTCCTGAGTTCAGTTTCCTCTTTCTCAAACTGGACCATGATGGAGCCACCTGTACCACTCAGGGGGAGAAGGCAGGAGTCCCCAAAGCAAAAGGAGCTTTAGGACTGCTAGGATGTCCCTTAATCCCTCCTTTTACTCATGGGAACAGCTCCTCTGGTTCAACCCCAGGCAACTCTCCTGTCTCCTAACTCGCCTGCAACTGGCTGTCAACCGTGTGCCCGCCACCTGGCATCCTGGGCATGGGAGTGGCTTCCTGGAGAGCCAGGCCTGCTCCAGAAAGCTGGAGAGGGGCCACTGGGGTACCACATTTGTTACCAAAAGCTAGTCCTTGTCCCTGATGCCAATCCGATAACAAGGACACAGGTTTGAGAAAAAGGAAAAAGAAGTTTTATTGCTTTTCTAGCAAAGGAGAAACACAGGGGATCCTGTCCCAGAGGCTGTGATTCTGCCCCTCAGCAGGAGCAGGGGCTGTTAAAGAGGTGACTCAGGCTACCTTCCGGGCGCTCTCCATCCGGGGCTGTAACTCACCTGTTAATTTGGGATTGTCCTTTCTGAGGTCTTCTGGTGCCCTCCCCACAGAGGGCGTGTGCTCAGATAACTCTGCCTAGGGTGGGGAACAAAGGTGACCCTCTTTCCCTGGAGATTTGGGAGGAGGAGGAGAGGAAGAGAAAGAAACCTGTGCATTTAAAAACCAGTTGCAGTGGCTGAGCAGCAAGGGCCAAGTCAGAGCGTGAAGTAGACCCTGTTAGAGGGCGTGGGGCCTTGTCCTTGGCCTCACCCCAGGCGAGGCGGATTGCTGAGTCCCCCAATGCCAAGGGAAAGCAGCGGGACGTCCCTCGGATTTTCTGGGTATAGTACTCCCACAACTTGTCCCCTGAGGGCCCCTTCTGGAAGCCACATGGCCTGAGGGCTCATGGTCCCACTTGACAATTCCCACATTAAGAGGGCTTTGCTGTGGTCCCCTCATTTGGCCCAAACTGGGCCCCTCTGGACTGGCTGGTGTGTGCCAGCAGGGCTGCAGCAGGGTGTCCACAGGGGCTGGAACTGGATGGCCCTCCTCCCCAGGATGCTTCTGCATCTGGCCACGTGGAGGTGACACCCAAGCAGGTGGGAGCTGGGCGTCCCACCTGCTCCTCAGAGCCAACTTCTGTGGCTTTGGGTTCTGTGGGGACTCTGCCCACAGGATGGTGCCTCGGCAGGGCCCTGGTCTGCAGGGCCATGTGGCTAGTCCCACAGCCGGGGTCCCCAGGCCAGCTGTTGGCCTCTGTGGGGGACACCAGTGTAGAGCAGGGATCTTGGGCCAGGAGAGAGAATCACCTGCCTGTAGGCACAGATGGCCCCTGAAGGGACGATGCTGTTCGGAGTGGGGTCTTTCTGCAATGTTGGGAAGAATGTGGCACAGCGCGGGTGGCCCGGGTGGAAGGGAGAGCCCAACCTCTGAACCCAGGCACAGCTTTCCTGAGAGACTCAGCCGCAGCCTGTGCGGCGCTGGAGGAAGGGCAGCGGGCAAGGGGGGAGCCTCCAATTACAGTGAGTGAGGAGGCCTCCCCCGTTCTGACTTGAGGGCAAAATGGCCTGGGGAGCAGGGGAGGAGCCAGGCTGGGTTCTGGGGGAGACATCTGAGCCTCAGCCCCTGCCACATGCTCCTTAAAGGACGTTTTGCACCCATAATACAATTGGGGGGTACCAGGGGTTGAACTCAGTTGCACTGGGCCACTGAGCCCCACCCCCAGTCCTATTTTGTATTTTATTTAGAAACAGAGTCTCACTGAGCTGCTTAGCGCCTGGCCATTGCTGAGCGGTTGACCTTGCCCTCCTCCTGCTCACCTCCTGAGCCGCTGGTTATAGGCAGGCGCCACGGCTGACTTTTTAGTTTTTTTAAACAGCTTTAGATTGAGAGGAAAATTGAGCAGAACAGGTTCCCACTTACCTCCCCTCACCCGGTTTCCCAGTTATCAACATCTTAAATTAACATGGTGCCTCTGTTACAAAAGGGGCCAGTTACTTTCTCGGGCAGTGACCCCCCCCGGGGCTGAGGGTCCCCCACCCTGCCTCTGTCCCAGGAGAAGGGGCTCAGAGCTTCAGTGTGGTCACTTGAGCAGTCATGAGCTGGCCTTGGCTGTGGCCTGGGGACAGTCGAGGAGGAGGCCGCGGAGAGGCGTGTCCAGGCTGGTCCCTCTGGGGATGCCGAGGCGGGAGGTGGCCAGCAGCGGCAGGGCTTCACCGGGGTGCCGGCTCCTCCCCGTTTTCTTGTTTGGGTTCATTTACTTGAAGGTGCTTGTTGTGGTTGGCTGAAGTGTCCCCAGGGGCAAGGCAGAGCACCGGCAGGGGCTGTGGGGTCCCCTGGGCCGCTCGGGTGCCCCCGAGTGCCCACCTGGCCCTGGGAACCCAGAGTCACCTCCGCAGGAGGGGCAGGGGCCCTGGGGAGCTGACCCTTCTGTAAATGGCGGGTGGGGCGCACATCACACCTCCGTCTTCCCCGGACCCCCACTGCCCTGCGTCCTCCCGTGGCCTGTCATCTGCAGTGGGCGGTGACGCCCCGTACCTGTCCCGCAGGTCGCTGTCACAGGGTGTTCTTCAGTGCTGACCGGAAGTGCCCCCACGCCCGGCTTTGCCTGATTTGCCCCTTTCTCTGGTGCTGGAGGTGGAGCCAGCCTGGAGTGTGCCAGGCACAGGCTCTGTCCCCAGCCACTCCCCGTCCCCGTCCTCTGAGCGCTCTTACTCTGCAGTTGGTTTCCCGAGGGCTGGCTGGTTATTGTCTGATCGTTTCTACGTGTCCCCTCCTTCACCATGTGATGAGTCCTCCCTCCCATGGCTCTGCTGGCCTCTTCCGCCCTCTGGGTTGCCTTTGTGGGGGGACCTCGCGGTGGAATCAGCTGTGTCTGTCTTCTCTTCATCTGGCTTCTTTTTACTCCGCATGATATCTTCAGGGTCCACCATGTCGTAGCAGGGGTCAGAATTCCTTCCTCTTTGTGGCTGAATACTACTCCATTGCTGGATGGGCCCCATTGTGTTTTATCCGTTCATCTGTTGGTGGACTCTTGCAGCTTCCTCCCACCTGGGAGCTCCTGTAAACAACATTGCTGTGCACACGGGTGTGCAAACACCTATTCCCATTTTCTGGATTGGTGCCTGGGAATCGAATTGCTGGTCCTATGGTAGTTCTGTCTAACTTTCTGAGGAGCCAGAGTGTCATCTGTGGCAGCTGGAGGCTTGCTTTACGCTCTTCTTGGTGCACTGATGTGAGTGGGCTCCAAGGCCCTGAGGCGCCCGATTTGCCGGAATGCCCCAGCACTGGAACCTGAACTGACGTCTCTCCCTTCCCTTGCAGATCCCAGCATGCCTTCGGAGACACCCCAGGTGAAAGAGGGGTCTGCAGGGTGCCCCCACCACCTGGGGAAAGGGAGCCCAGAGAGGGGGCCTCCAGGGGACAAGGAGGCCAAGGAACATCTGTGGACCCGGCCTGACATCCCCAGCAGGTGCACCTGGCAGCTGGGCAGGCCCAGCACGGACTCCCCGCACCACCACGCGTCTCACCTGGAGGCTCTGTGAGTGTCTGACAACCAGATGGGTGCTCCCTTACCCTGGCTGGAGCCGCTTATTACCTGGAAGCTACATCCAGGAGGACCTGGGGTGGGGGTGCCCTTCGTGATCACGGTGGGTGACAAAGGGCTGGGCTGGGGGGGGGGGAGCACTGAGTTCGGGCAGGCCGCTGCCCAGCTGAGCTGGGCACACTGAGCTGGACAAATGTGTCAGCACACCTAGGTCAGCCTGCCCAGGTCGGTGCTGGGAGTAGCTGGGAGAGGTGTCCCCGCCAGGTGTCTGTGCCTCTTGCCAGGCTCCTGTCGTGGGCCCCTTTTATGGAGTTCCAGGGTCAGTGGAGGCCTTTTTTTTTTTGGTACTGTTGATTGAACCAGGGGCACTCGGCCGCTGAGCCACACCCAGCCCTATTTCGTGTTTTATTTAGAGACAGGGTCTCCCTGAGTTGCTTAGCGCCTTGCTAAGTTGCTGAGGCTGGCTTTGACCTCTCGGTCCTCGCCTCCGCAGCCGCTGGGAGGACGGCCTCGTCTGAGCCCGGCCTGGTGGGGGGCTCTCCAGCCCTGCGCTGGTGCGGTGTTCTCGATGCTCTGCGGTAGGACAGCCTAGACCAGCGATCCCTGTCCCGGCAAGGACACGCCAAGCTTGCTGTTTGAGGCTGCAGGTGACCTTAGTGCACAGTCCTCCCGATGGAGAGCGGGCTTCCAAAGTGCCTGTCCTCCCCTGCTGCGTGCCGCACCAGTGGTCACAGATTGAACAGTCAGCAGGAGTGTGCGGGGGTCTCAGCGGCCACAGGAAGAGCGAAATTCACTCACCTGCAGGTTCTGCAGGAGCCTCGTGCTGGGAGCCCAGGAGGCCACTCAGGCAGCTGGCCAGAGGGATGAGTCCTTGCTGCCCACACAGCCCAGAGCAGCGGGGCCAGGTGGGGGAGGCTGGGTGTGGCTGCAGGGCCTGGGGGGGGGGAGAGCAGGTCCCTGGCTGCTGCTTGAGCACACTGGCCTCAGGGAAGTCTTGTCCCGAAATAGCCCTGTCCCCAGTCCCCACAGTCAGGAGGGAGTTGTGGTAGAGGCCCCCACTGGACCCGGGTCCGCTAGAGGGAGACACAGTCCCTGGGGTAATGGCAGGGAGACCCATGGGGCCAGAGACAGAGCAGGCAGGTGGGGTCAGGTGCCTGGGGCCAGTTGCAGAGGTTTCCAAGATGGTGTGGGCTTATGAAGAGGGCCTGTGGGAGCCTCAGGGGAGGGCAGACAGGTGGCCCTGTGACAGGTTGGGGTCTAAGCTAAGGTCTGGGATGCCCCGCAGCCTCCTGGCTGAAAGTACAAGCCCTTCAGATAAGGTGAATCAGGACCTCTCAGCCCCGTCACCTGCAGACTGTGGCCTGCTGAGTGAGCAAACTTGTCACCTGCCCTGGGGGCCGAGCCTGATCCTGCCCAGCCCAACACCCCCTCCCCCGCCCCGCAGGTGCTGCCCACTCCCCGTCCTGGGTTCCGGCCTGCAGGGCAGGCAGCTGTGCCCGACCACTGGGGTGCTGCGCTCCTTGCCCTCTTACGCTGACGGGAGCTGGCCCCCTCAGGCCCTCTGCGGAGTCTTCTCAGGAGGTTTTGGCTGGTGGTGGGACACACCCCTCCCTGGGGTGGAGGGAGCCACAGGAAGGTCATTTGGGAACCTGCCTGGGCCACACTTTGTGCACACAGAGCTGCTGGACAGCCGCTGGCCTCACAGCCTCCCTGTCCCTGTCACCATCTTGTCAGGTAGAACTGTTGGCATTGTCCTGGGCCCAGAGCAGGTAGAAGCCTGGCATTTCTTGTGGTCCTGCGGTCCTCCTTGCTGGCCAGAGGTCTGAGGAGTAGAGCTACCCTAGCAGTCAGACCCTGGGATGGGGGATTGGAATTCCCAGCAGAGGTGTCCTAGAAACAGGGACTCCGATTTGTTGTTTCAAAGTCAAGGTTGTTTCTAACCTATTTTCCCTCCTGTGATATGGGGTGGGAACCAGAGCCTGGTGCCCGCTGGGCAGGTGCTCTTCCTCTGAACTACACCTCAGCCCTTTTGATTTTGAGGGACAGGGTTTCTCTAAATTGCTGAGGCTGGCTTCAAACTTGCCATCCTCCTGCCTCAGCCTCCCAGGTCACTGGGATTATAGTCATGTGCCACCACACCTGGCTGTTAACTTTTTTTTACTGGAAAATTATTTTAAAACTCACAAGAAGTTGCAAAAATAATAAAGGTCTTAGGTGACCAAAGGACATGTTCAGATCAGGACACAAATGTGGTACATTCTAGTGCCCTTGGCTAATCCACGGGCATTACCGTGTTTGGGCTTGGCAGGTGTTAGGAGGGCGTGTGTGTGTGTGTGTGTGTGTGTGTGTCGCGATGTCATTTTTCCCCGCCTGTGGCTTGGTGGGCCGTCCAGACCCTTCCCCACAGCCAGCCCCGAGGTCCTTGGTTCGTTTTGTAAGAGGGCAGCTGGACTGTCCGTACCGTCGGTGTCTGGTCTTGTTCGTCTGAGTAATGGTGGACTCTCTCTTTGTTTTAGGACAAATTCTCCAAAAATCTTGCCAGATATTCTGAGGAAAATTGGGAACACCCCGATGGTCAGGATCAACAAGATCGGGAAGAGCGCTGGCCTCAAATGCGAGCTCTGTGAGTGCCGCCCCGCGCTCCCCGACCCTGGGATGGACCCCAGATGAAGCCCTGGGCCGCAGGCTGTGGGGCAGGCAGCCTGCTGATGGCTCGGGTGGAGGTCATATCCGTAAAGTTCGAGAAGGAAGTGCTATAGGGGTTCGTCAGGGTGAGCAGGGGGGCCACCCGGAGCTGCTGGCAGCGGGGAGCTGACCTTGAGTGAGGAGCGAGGTGAAGACCCCAAGGCAGAGCGGAGCAGATTGTGCCCAGGGCTTCCCTGGGGCCACTTCAGGGGAAGTGGGCAAGTCCTAGGTAGGGGTGTGGCCATCAGTGGACAGGAGGGGTCCATCTCTGTGTCCAGCTGGCTCGTGAGTGTTAGAACAGAGAGACGGCCAGACACACGTCACAGGTCATTTCAGCCTTTATTCAGGAATGGGACCCCACGGGAATGGGCCCACTTCCCTGGTGGAAAATGAGCCGCTAAACACGTCGCTTTGTGCACTCGGAAAGTGGGGCCGCGAGCAGGGGGCCGGTGGCCAGTGCCTGGGAGCAGTCGCCTTGGAAGAGATCAGGGTTTCCTAGAGAGTGTCACTTGTGGGTTGGAGGGGACACTGTCTCCCCCTGTGGCTGGCATGTGGGAAGGACTTACCTTGGGTGGTAGGTGGTATGGCTCTTCCTATTTCTTTCTCCCAGGCCTCAGTGTTTGGGGTTTTCATTTTCCGTGTCGGTAGTGGGGACCGAGCTCAGCCAATCCCTGACGAGGCAGAAGGGGCCTGGGAGGGTCAGCAGCCGCAGCGAACACTGGACCTTACCTCAGCCTTTGCTGGGTAAAGGAGCTGCTCCCAGAGCAGAAGGGGCAGGGGCACCCTCCCGGGGGAGAGGCCTGCACACCTGAGCCCCAGGGAGCGGGGTCTGGGTTCGGAACCAGTAGTAGGGCAGCCGGAAGGGCCAGGAGCCTGGGGACAGGCTGGGGACCAGGTGTCTAGCTTGTGACTCCAAGGTCCCTGCTGCATGGAGAGGAGATGTCCCTGCCACGGGGTGTCCTGAGACAGCTGGAGGCACTGGGAGTGGAGGGCCTGGGGGCCTGCCTCCTGCCCGCCCCCTAGGGGTGGGGTTCCCCAGAGATGCGGACCTGCTCCCTGAGCACTGCCAGGCACCTAGACTGCTCCAGAACAGCCCCCTTCAGGAGACCAGGGCTGTGTCCCTTTGTCAGGCGGTACAGAGGTGGCTAGGGCACCAGCCAAGCTGCTCAGACCACGTCTGCACTTGGTAGTGGCCTCCAAGGTGGGCCAGCCTGGCCCGGCAGCTGGATTCCCAAGCAGGGCCGTCCCCAGCTGTGAGAGGCATCCTCCAGTGACTCTCTGGGATGCAGGCCTCTCTCGGCCACACGTCACCCCACCCCCACCCCAAACCACAGCGCCTCCACCTGGTTCTGGGGTGAAGTGTTTGGTTGTGGTTTTCAGAAACACGGATGAGTCAGGCGGGTGGCTGTGGGTGTTGCAGGTCAGTCCAGGTTCCTTCAAACCGTATTGGTGCAGACTAATACCCACCCCCTTGGAAAACTAAATACTTTGAGAGCTGGGGAGAGAGGCCTTCCCTAAAGGAAGAAGAGCCCAGGCTAGGCCCCTGGCCTCAGAGCGCAGTTGGGAGGGGCTTCGGGCAGGGGAGTGACCCCAGCCGTGGCTGGAGGACAATCAAGGTGATGGTCAGCAGGGCCTGCCAGTTCAGCTGGCCTCAGGTGTGGGACTCACAGCCAGCCCTGCTGCAGTCCTACATGCTGCAGTGGGACTGCCTGCCTCAGAGGGACACATTGTGGCCTGTCCACCTGGTGGGGGCTCCTGGGTGTCTTTTCCTCACTCTCGCAGAGTCGCCCTGTGCCCTGTAGGGGTGTGTGCGTGGCCTGCAGTGGGAAAGCCCTGATCCGCCAGCACCCAGGTGCAGGGGCGTGGAGGGGCGACTTCCAGAGTGGATAAGCCCAAACCTGGGGCCACGCTGGGGTGCGTCTGGTAACCGGAGGGTAAGCAGGAGTCCATCGGGGTCGGGGTCTTCTCCCTCCTGAACCATCTCTGGCTCCCAGTGGCCAAGTGTGAGTTCTTCAACGCGGGCGGGAGTGTGAAGGACCGCATCAGCCTGCGCATGATTGAGGACGCCGAGCGCGATGGGACCCTGAAACCCGGGGACACGATCATTGAGCCGACATCTGGGAACACAGGTTGGTGCAGGGAGCAGCAGGAGGGTGGCCGGTGCTGGCCACCCTTCCCACTCAGCATCTCTTGGGTGAACACAGCTGGGCTCTGCACTGGCTGTTGCAGCTGCTATCCCATCCTGACCCCGGGCTCTTCCTCGTGAGCAGAGGTGCCTGTGGTTCTGCCTCTGCGTTCCCTTGGCCCCACGTGGGGGTGGCAGGTGCCGAGGTGGGTTTTGGACGTCCTCAGTACTCTGCCCAGGGCCTTCCTGGCAGGGCAGCTGGACTTGGAGCTTGTCCCTGGTGTCCTGACAGGGACGGGCAGGGCCAGCCCCCGGGCCCCTCACACCCTCCGTGCTGCCCTCAGGGATCGGGCTGGCGCTGGCTGCGGCCGTGAAGGGCTATCGCTGCATCATCGTGATGCCTGAGAAGATGAGCATGGAGAAGGTGGGTGCTGGGTGCTGGGTGCGGGGCGCGGCGGGCCCCGGCTCAGGCCTGACGGGAGGACGAGGTGTGGCTCTCCACCTGCAGGTGGATGTCCTGCGGGCCCTGGGGGCGGAGATCGTGAGGACGCCCACCAACGCCAGGTTCGACTCCCCCGAGTCCCATGTGGGTGTGGCGTGGCGGCTGAAGAACGAGATCCCCAATTCCCACATCCTGGACCAGGTGAGGTGCTGCAGCCCGGGCGTCCGGGGTTGGTCCTGCGCCCATCCGAGAGATCCCCGGGGCTCTGCGGGCTTCGGGCAGTGTGGTGGGCGCTGGGCCTGCCGTGCTCCTGCCCATGGAGCCACAGGCCTGCGGCCCTGCATGCTGCCAGCTGTGGCTCAGCGAGGCCCCGGAGCGCTCTGCGGGTGGCAGACTCGACTCCTCTTGGACGTGTGTCTGGCTGAACAGGAGCTGTGTGTTCTGGGGGGCCGGCGGTTGCCTGCGCCACCGGCCCCTCTGTCCCGGGCCTTGGGCTCCTCCCTGGCCCTCCACTGAGCTGGGGGCCAGCCGGCTGTGGCTGGTGTGGCGGAGGCCTTCACGCTCCTGGCCCTCGGCTCTCTCTGCACAGTACCGCAATGCCAGCAACCCCCTGGCCCACTATGATGCCACCGCGGAGGAGATCCTGCAGCAGTGTGATGGTGTGTGCTCCCCGTGGGTCTCGGTTTCCTTTGTCCCTGGTTGCCTGGAGTGTACAGATCACGTGTCCTCTTCCTGGCCAACTCCTGTTCACCCTGCAGAACCCCTCTGAAATGTTCCTCTCTAAAATGGCCTCCAGGGCAGCGGGACGAGCTGCAGCGGGCAGTGAACTCAGCCTTGTTCCCCCACCTCCAGGCTGGGTGCTGAGGGCCACAATTAGCTTATTGTCCGTACAGGCATGTGGCTCCTGGAACCGTGTCCACTCACGAGTGCCAAGTCCTGGGGGTCAGGGAGATGCTGTGCCAGCAGATCCCTGTGGGAAAGAGCTGGGAGGCGGGAGCCTCGGCCGCCCGTTGGCACTGGCCCAGGTGACAGGCTGGCCCAAGCCTTTGCTTGCCCCATTTTATGAGCCAGCCTCCTCTCACTTGGCAACAGAGGCCTGGCTGGCGGGGGGTTGCGGCCGGCGCCTGGGCCTGCCTGTGCTCAGACTCGCCCGGAGGGTCTGGGGTGGCCCAGGCGTGCCAGCGCCCAGCCTGAGCAGTCTGCCCGTTTCCTTTTAAAATTCAGTGGACTATTCCCATCACCAACAAGGGACACGGTCCTGCCACCTGCACCCAGTGGGCATCAGCTCCAGACTCATCCATGGGGGGCTTTGAGGGCCGAGGGTCTCTGAGCAGAGCCAGGGCAAAAGCCATCATCCCTGTCTTCTTGCTCAGACCCGTGAAGGCCGTGAGCTCCGTTTGCACTTGAGGCTGGACTTTCCTTGGGGCACTTGATCACTGGGCTGCGTGCTCTGGGTATTGGCGAGGAGTGGGGGCTGGCCACACTGGCCTGAGACCTTCTCCCTCCACCAGGGAAGCTGGACATGCTGGTGGCTACTGTGGGCACGGGGGGCACGATCACAGGCATCGCCAGGAAGCTGAAGGAGAAGTGTCCTGGGTGCAGAGTGAGTAGCGCCAGGGGCGGGTTGGCACTGCTGGGCCTGTGGCCTGGTCCACTGGCCTTTCTCACCGGGCCCCGAGCTGTTCCTGGGCGTGGGCCGCAGAGCACTGCCATCTGCACCCCGGGGGATGTTTGTCAAGTGTGCTTCAGGGGTGGGGTCTCCTCCTGCCATGACCCAGGGTCTGCTGTGCTAAGTGGAGATGAGGGTCAGCCTGGGGGTGGAGTTGAGACAGGCCCTGGATTTGGGGTTCAGGGCTGGTCTGAGGATGGCTTGCAGCAATACCTGGCTGGCTACTCTTTCTGGATGGTATTGCCCACCAACCTGGAAGAGGTCAATGTCCAGAGCTTCCCTGTGTCCCTTAAGGCTCTGGCTGCCCCAGTACTGGGGGGTCCTTTCCAGAGGAACCGTGGGAGGTCACCTCTGAGGGTCCTACTCAGGACACTGCTTCAGATGGGTTGTCACAGCTCCTACTCTGGGCCTGGTTCTGGACATTCTTCCTGCCTCTGAGCCCCAGACAGCATGTGTGCCCTGTGGATGGGTCATTAAGAGTCACGTGTTAGCAGTGGGGGTGGCTCCTCCAGTAAGTCCAGATGAGGTTTGGTCCCCAGCTTGAACACTAAAACCACCCACTCTGCAGATCATCGGGGTGGACCCGGAAGGGTCCATCCTTGCGGAGCCCGAAGAGCTGAACCAGACAGACCAGACCTTCTACGAGGTGGAAGGGATTGGCTACGACTTCATCCCCACGGTGCTGGACAGGGCGGTAGGTTGGGCCAGAGCACTGCCCGGCCAGGCAGCTGCAGCCTGGTGCCTGGGCACTGGCTTTCCACTGAGTGGGACGGAAGAATAAGCACCAGCATAGGGAGTTTGAGGGCTTCTGGTATCGGGGTCAGTGACGGCAGGCTGGGGCAGGAGGGTCGCAGGTTCTAGGCCAGCCTCAGCAACTTAGTAAGACCTCGACTCAAAAAAATAAATGAAAGCAGGTGTCCTCAGGGTTAACTCCTGGGAAGGGGCACTACCAGATCCAAGTTCACGCTCTGGCACTGCCTCCACGGCTCACTGCGGCTGGGTGGTGAGGGCACAGGCCAAGTAAGATGCCAGGCCCTGCAGCAGCCCCCGGTCCTGGCGGAGGCTGTAGTTGAGAAGCGTGTTGGAACAGGAAGGGCAGAGAGCGCCAGGTTTGCAGGCGGGGGTGCTGGGTTCTTTGGGGGCCACAGCCACCCAGAGAAGTCTTAGGTGGTCCCTGCTCCAGCTGACTTCCATGGCGTCTGGCCACAGGTGGTGGACAAGTGGTTCAAGAGCAACGACGAGGAGTCCTTCGCCTTTGCGCGCATGCTGATTGCACAGGAAGGACTGCTGTGTGGTGAGCGGCGGCGCCCCTGGGGTGGTGGGGCAGGCGCAGTGGGGGCCATGCCCTCTGCCAGCTCCTAGGCTCTCTGGGGCAGTGTGCCCGCAGCGGTGCACTGCTTGGGGGCCATCTGCCCTGGCCTTCCTCTGCAGCAGTTGCTTGCTCTTGCTGTAGCTCATGCTCACCTGCGCAGGTGAGGGTGGGCGGGGCAGGGCTCTTGGCAGAGCTCTCGGGGTACTCAGTCAAGACCAGCCCTGTCTATGGTTGGGCTCCTCGTCAGCGGGGTCCAGAGCCAGGACAGGGTGCCCCCAGGGCCCTGGAGAGGCTGGGCTGGGTCTCCCTCCACCTTTGTGGCTCCCTTCTCTGTGGCCCAGAGGCCCGTCCAGGACTAGGCTCACCAGCCTCACCTGAGCCCTCGGCCGCCTGCTCAGGGTGGACAGAGCAGCACTGGGGACCATACCATGCAGGACAGCAGGGCCAGTTTGGTGAAACCTCAGGGTTTACCACTTGAAGCACCATGTGTGGGAACTGCCCTCCGTGCAGCCAGTCCCTGCCACCCAGTCCCACCTTGACGACTGGGACCAAGCCCCTGCTGATGACAAGAACCTGCCAAGCGCTGCGGGAAAGGCGACTTGCTCCCTGGCCTTGGGCCCTGGGAGCAGGCAGCAGGCCCTCTGCCTCCCTGGAGAAGAGGGTCTCCCTGCAGGCCACGCTCTTGTGGCCACTTAGAGCCAAGTCCAGATGTGCCCCAGCTGGAGGTGCAGCTGCAGCCCCTGGATTCAGGCTCCTAGGGTCTGGCACAGTTGGTAGGACCTGGTGTCACCCACCTCCTCGTGGGGTGACCGTGAGCAGCCGCTGAGACGGCAGGCTATCCCTGGCACTCAAACGGGACCAGGGGTGCTTGCGTGGGACCCAGAGCCCACCTTGGGCATCCCCTGTCACCAGCCTTGCCCTGGCCGATCAGAAAGTCTCACCTCCTCCTGGGCCTTCTTACTCGCCCTCAGCGGGAATGTCAAGCATGTGTGGGTCCTTGCAGGCCCTGCTCCTCTGCCCACAGCTCTGCCCAGAGTAGGTCAGGTGTGCTACAGGCACTCACGGGCAGGGAGCACACACACGGTGCCAGCGTCCCACAGGGCCTCTGAGGGTACCTGGGCATGCGTGTGGGTGTGCATGTACCCAGGCGTGTAGATGGCCAGCTGCGTGGTCCTTGGCAGGTGGCAGCTCCGGCAGCGCCATGGCTGTGGCTGTGAAGGCGGCCCAGGATCTGCAGGAGGGTCAGCGCTGTGTGGTCATCCTGCCCGACTCCGTGCGGAACTACATGTGAGCCCTGCTCCCTTGTCCTCCAGCCCTGCCCCTGTCCTCGACACCGCCTGGCTGCTGTCCCCGCCCTGCGCTGCCTCACCAGGGAACCGACAGCAGGAATCTGGAGGTGGCGGGGCCCCAGGAGCTCTGGGGCCCCGTCTCTGCCCCTATCATGGCTCAAGGCCTCAGCTCCATGGGCCAGTGTGTGGCACCAGTGTCCTTAAGGGAGAGCCTGCTGCCCCTGCCATCCAGGCGCCTGCTGACCTGAACCTGAGAGAGCCTGGGCAGGACCAGTCCTGGCGGGGTTCCTTAGAACTTGCTGTGGCTTGCCATGGCCTTCGACTTGCAGGACAGACCTGGCCCCCCTGAGTGGCCATTCGGCTTCCAGCTCCTTTCGATGGGGTAGTGCCTCACCCCAGGTCCCGCTGAAGCAGGGGGAAGCTGCCCTGCAGCAGGCCTTGTGATCAGTGGAGCAGCAAGGCTGGGACAGGCCATCCATCCCCCATTCCCTCCCTTATACACAGGGCTTCCTCCTGGCCTGAGCCTCTGCATGACCCTGCTGCCCTTGCTGGGCAGGCATAGTGGGTGGGCACTCCCAGGTGGGTTCCCAGACATGGGATGATTCATACCTGGGTGCCCACTGCCAGGTTGCCCTAAGCAGGGCTCCTGCCTGCCCCGGCAGCGCGTCTCCCTGAGCACTTGGGTGGGCTGCTGTGCCTACGTGTGAGCTGGCGAGCAGCCTGGTCTGTGAGAGTGGTAACGGTGTGTGCGTGGGGCAGGAAGTGTGAGGGGTCAGTGTGCGTGTGTGGTGGTACTTGGCTGCCTCTTAGGAGGTGGCAGCAGCTGTGTGGCTTCCTCTGCTGTCCTTTGAGCAGGGTGGACTTCCTCTGTTGGGGCAGACCTGGAGGCCAAGGAGGGGGCTACCTAGGGGCCCCTGAGGGGCTGTGAGCACAGAGGCCCCAGAAAACAGCCTCACCCAAGGCTCTGAGCCCATCAGCCCAAGCATGGTGCCCTGGCTGACCAGATGCCCCTTCCTCCTGCAGTTCCTGGCCCAGGTCCTCCTGAACCCTGGACCTTCTGCCAGGCTCTCACTGTCCCCTGGACTAGTAAGGTCCAGGAACCACGTCCCTGAGTGCACAGGGTGTGCACCTGGCGTGTGCAGAGGCTGTGGTGGGGGCCTTGGCCTTGGTGACACCACAATCCCTGCAGGTCCAAGTTCCTGAGTGACAAGTGGATGCTGCAGAAGGGCTTTTTGAAGGAGGAGGACCTCTTGGTGAAGAGGCCGTGGTAAGGACGCCTGAGCAGGGACACAGCGCCTGGGCAGGGTGCATGGTCCCCGTAGCCCCTGCGGTGAGGCCTGCTGTGAAGCACCGGTCCCCGGCCTTCCCTTTCCCTAGGTGGTGGCACCTGCGAGTTCAGGAGCTGAGCCTGTCGGCCCCGCTGACTGTGCTGCCCACCGTCACCTGTGAGCACACCATCACCATCCTCCGCGAGAAGGGCTTCGACCAGGCGCCTGTGGTTGAGGAGTCGGGGTCAGTCCCCGCTTCCCCCCACCCCCACCCCAGTGCAGAGCTCCGTCCTCTGGGCCCTACAAGCAGCCCCTGGCCCCTATGTGTGGTGTCACCAGACGAGGTAGCCGAGGCCCATGCTGCTAGGGTGTGGTCACTGTGCATAGTGTTCAGAACCTTGGCTACCCGCTGGTCAGCCCCTGGAGCGGCAGCAGGTGCGATGGGGGGTTCTTCCGGCCGGGGCCTCCGAGCTCCTGCCTCATTGCTCACGTACACACTTTTGCCCTGGGCCTCTGCCCAGGAGGCAGGTGGCAGGTGGCAGGTACCTTGGGGTGTGTCTCACAGGAGAGGTCCATGGCAGCCATGCCCAGGTGACCAGCTGTCCCACGTCTAGCATTTAAAGTCCTGGGAGTCTCCACAGCTGTGAGAACAGAAATAGTCCAGGACTTGAGTTCACCATGTCCTGGGGGATCTCTGTGTTCCTGCCAGGTGGAGGCCGGAGACCCCCAGTGTAGCTGTGGGCAAGTCTGACCCCTGCCTTCCCCCACCCATTCTCTATCCCCTGCAGGGCCATCCTGGGGATGGTGACTCTTGGCAACATGCTGTCGTCCCTGCTTGCTGGGAAGGTGCAGCCGTCAGACCAAGTCTGCAAAGTCCTCTACAAGCAGTTCAAACCGGTTGGTACGCCCTGAGTAGAGCAGCCCCTGCCCACAGGACCCTCTGCCTCTCTCCAGGGCACCTGCAGAGGGCGGGTATTTATTCCAGCCTTGGTTTGTCCTCAGAGCAGGGCACAAGTGCTTCCTGAGGAAGGGGACCAGGTCCCTGGTGTAACCCCACTCAGGTGCCACCTGTACCCCATCAAAGCCCAGGGTTCAAGTGCAGAGCCAAGAAGGGCAGCTCTGGCCAGGGTCGCTTCCCCTCAGGTGCTGTGTGGTGGGGCCTGGGGTCAGCAGCAGCCTGGGGACCACCAATGCAGTCCCAAGGGCCTCCGCAGGTGGTCTTTCTCTCAACCCTTCATCTTTGTTGTGTCTGCTTCCGTGGGAGAACACCTAGTGTACCTGGTCCCCTCGTAAGAACCCAGCTCTTCAGGGACAGGCCAGAGCAGGCCCTGTGCTGGCCAGGTCGTGGCTGCCAGGGCAGCGCCTGGCGTTGCTTCTGCTGGCCCCGGGCAGAGCCTGGCTCTCCACACAGACCCTATGAGCTGGAACAGGGAGTGTTGGCTGTGCAGGCTGCTGAGCTGAGGGGCTCCGCCCAGAGCAGGCTGCAGACCTGACCTCTCCTCTCCCGCGTCTCGCATACCCACGGACACTGCCAGATCGGCCCTCCCCCTTCCCGTCACCTGTCACGGCCTCCTTTGTGGTCCTCACAGGGCCCTTGGGCCTCTAACCCCCACAAAGCCAGCCCACCTGGAGTTAAAACCGAAATCCCTGCCCCTCCCTGTCCCCTCACATGGTGAGGCCTCCCAGCCTGGCTCTCCTGCTGTTCACATGGCCTCCTGGGCCTCCCTGACCACGGGCCCCTCTGCAGAGGGCGGGTGTTTGTCCCAGCCTTGGTCTGTCTTGTTCTTTTAACACTGTGGACTGAGCCCCGGGGCACTCAACCACCGAGCCACATTCACAGCCCCTCTGGGGTATTTTACTTGGAGACAAAGTCTCACTGAGTTGTTCACGGCCTCACTAAGTTGCGGAGGCTGGCTTTGACCTCCTGATCAGCCTTCCCCATTGCCGACTAGTTCTGGAAGTTTCCTTCCTTCACACCTCTTCTGTTCCTAAGTGAGGTGTGGTTGCACACAGTGGGTGCTGAGCATGTAGTTCCATGATTTGATGTAAAATGCCCCCGGGAAACCCTCACCCACCCACGTCCATCAGCCCCAGCGCTTCTTCCTGCCCCACTCGCCTCCCCACCAGCAAGACGGACCTGCCTGTGGCTGTTCATGGAAGCCACGCGCTGACCTCCGACTCCTTCCTCATGGGGAGTGTGTCCATTGCTCTTTGGCCTCCTGTGCATGTTCTCGTCTGTGCCAGGCGTGGGAGCGCTCTCCAGCCTGCAGGGGGGCCACTTCTGCTGCTAGCCCTCCGCCCGGGCTGGCTTGCATCTCTGTTTGGGCTGCTGCCCATTTTCCCACTGGAGGTGGGGTCAGGTGGCTGCGCCCAGTGTGTTGTGGGACTGGGAAAAGATGAGAATTCCCCACCAGGCCCTGGGAAGGGTGTGAGGGCTGTAGGGTGGGCCCTTCTGAGGACAGGGGGCTTCCTGGCCCGGCACCTGTGTCCCACAGATGCCTCCAAGGTGTGAGCTTGCCTCCAGTGGGAGTCATCACAGTGTCACAGACCCCAGTGTGTATGGCCCTAGGAATCCCATAACCAATCCCTCCCTCCTCAGCCCCGCAACCCCTGATCTGGGCTCACAAAGCTGGCTGCCATGCTGACCCCCTCCCAACAGCATCTGCTGGCCCCCTTACCCTGATTGGCAGCTCATCTGAGTGTGTTTCTTGAGTGCTGCGCCACCCTCTGACTGGCGTGGCAGTGCCCTGCCAGCCCTCCCCCCACCCCACATCCTTTCCGTGGAGGGACTGTGGGTGGCTATGCTGCAGGCAGCAGCCTTCTGTCTCCAGTGAGTGCTCCACGGTTCCCTTCCAGATCCGCCTGACGGACACGCTGGGCACCCTCTCGCACGTCCTGGAGATTGACCACTTTGCCCTGGTGGTCCATGAGCAGATCCAGTGTAAGTGGGTCCACACAGCGCTCTGTCCTCAGGGTGGGGTGCCGATTGGCCTGGGCCTCCACGTGCACAGTCCTGCTGTGTGCAGAAGACACCCCGTCCTTCACGGGTGACGGGGAGTGGGTGGTACTGACTTGTGTATTCCCCACCCCAGGCTCTCGGCCATGGGAGCCCGTGATCCCAGCCTTGTCTCCAGGGATGTGCAGGGTAGGCGGTGCTTGGCAAACCCCGCTGTTACCTGGGCAGGGGCTCCTCTGCTGCAGTGCAGGGGCTCAGGCTCAGTGGGCCCTTGGCCCTAGGTGGCAGGCAGTCACAGGGATGCTTGTTTTTTTGCTGTACTGGCCATTGAACCCAGGGCCTCATGCTAGGACCCTACCACTGAGCCACATCCCCAGCTCAAGTTTACCTTGTGAGTAGTGAGGATTACAGGGGTCTGCCACCACACCTAGCCTGTCTCTGGGACTGTAAGGGACAATCCCAGGAAAACCTGGAACAGTTGCAATCTTGGCTGCTGGTAATGTCCTGCGTCCCCAGGAGAGGCCACATTGACTTGACAGCCTCCTGCCCTTGGGCGCTGGCCCTGAGGGACTGTTTGTGGCCGTACCTTGGTGTCTGCTTCCAGCCAGCTCTGGGGCACTGTGGTCCCTGCTCACACAGCTGCTTCCTGGGCATCGGAAGGCCAGCAGGGTCCTCCTCGCCTTCTAAGAGCCCAGGATTTAAGTGCCTAGGAAGCAGAGGGCCCTGGGGCCCAGCCAAGGCTGGTCAGTGAGGGCCTGGGGCGACCACAATCTAACCCTCTCCCGTCCTTGGCTCTGCAGCACGGGACCAGGCCTGGTCAGGAGTGGTGGGGGGGCCTGCAGGTATGTACGTCCATCCCACCCCTCAAAAAAATAGCCCTCCACTCAGAACCAGAGCCTCCTGAGGCAACAGGCAGGCATCCAGGGTCCCACCCTGAGCATGGGTGGGGGTTCTCCTCTGATCCCACGTTTACTTACATCTGAATACCTCAGAAAACAGTGGGTGCCAACGTCAGAGTCCACAAAGTGTTTTTATTTTTTCCTATGGTGCTGGGGATGGAACCCAGGGCCTTGGGCATGGGAGCCAGTGTTCCGCACTGAGCGCACCCCAGCCCCACAGAGAAGGCTTTGTTGGAACTTGTCCTGCTTGTCCCCATTCTGGGCTCCATCATGTGACATTGGAAGAGTTGAATGGCTGTGACAGACTGCATGATCTGCAGACCTCAAATACTGACCACTGGTCCTCCGTGGAGACAGGTTTTAGGGGGTCCATAGGGCAAAGGCAGCACAGGTCACAGGTTCTGTTCTGGATTCTATTTTTCTGAGGCTCCTACTGGGGCACCAAGGTCCCTGCCCACTGTGGGCCTCTCTAGTCCCGAGGGTCTCTGCTCAGGCAGGAAGCAGGGTCTGGGTAGTCGTCCCTTCTGCCCTGCCTGCCCTCTGTGTGCCTGGAGGTGACTCTTGCCAATGAATGAGGGGACTCCAGAGAACAGGGCTGACAGGGTATGTATCTGTAGAAAGAGAGGAGTCGTGAGGAACTGGCCTGTGGTTTTGGAGGTTTCGATCCCCAGAGCAGCCTGGAGCCCAGGAGAGGTGATGTGTCAATTAAGTCCAAAATCAGGAAACCCCTTCCTCTGGGAGATGGGGCCTTGCTGGTCCAGACCCTCCACTTACTGGACAAGGCCCACCACACCGGCTAGGGCATCTGCCCTCCAGGGTTCTTAACTCAGATGCTGAGCTCATCCAAAACACTCACAGACACATCCCAGTACTATCTGGGCAGACCTCGAGATTCCGGAGGACCCAGCCAAGCCGACGATGAGCACCAACCACCGGGAGCACCCTCTGCCTGCTGGCTATGTGGTGTGGGGCTGGGCTGGCACTGATTTGAAGACTGAGCCCCAGAGAAAGGACTGCGTCTGCTGACAGAATCAGGCAGAGGCTGAGCAGGTGTCGCTCGGGGCACCAATGGCCTGAGCCTCCTGCTAGGGTGCCTTGGCGTAGAGAGGACCAAGGCTTGTCCTGAGGTGGTGAGACAGTGCTGCCCCCCAGACCGTCCCTTCTGGGGGCCTGGATTAGGTCAGCCTGCAGTCTGGCTCTGCCCACATGCTCCGGTTGGAGGGAGACAATGTGGCCCTGGGCTGTTTGGGTTGCCCAGTGCTGCCCACGCACAGGAGGCTGGGGAGGGCTAGCACAGCCTCCTTGCTGGCCGGCCTGCAGCAGCCCTGGGGTGGCGTGCTGCCTCAGATCCGCTTTGTGCCAGGTGCCTCCTGACCAGGGGCCCTGTCTTCTTCCCCAGACCACAGCAATGGCGAGTCCAGCGAGCGGCAGATGGTGTTTGGGGTTGTCACGGCCATTGACCTGCTGAACTTCGTGGCAGCTCACGAGGAGGACGGGAAATGATCCTGCGAGTCCGCGCCTTGCTCCCACCCTCCCTCTGCTTTTCCAGATGCTAAGCAGATCCCCCTGGTCTGGACGATTCATAAAAGTGGAACTGCAGTCTGGCCTCCTGTCTTCCTGGTGTGTCTCGAGTCCCCGGCAGTGTGCATGGGTCTCCACACGGCGTGGACGCTTGTTTCCGCCTGTGACACAGGTGCGCGTGTCCCAGCATCACCCACACTTTTCTGGGGTGCATGCCCAGGAGAAGAGCTGTGGGGTCGTGGGGCAGCCTTGCCTTAACCTGGAGGAGCCGCCCTGCTCCTGGTCCCCCAGGGCGCAGGGTCCGCGCCAGTAGTCTTCACTTGTCACTGCCGAGTTGAGTCGCAGCCATGCTATCCGTCCCCAGCCCCTCACTGGTTTGGGTCTGCATTTGATGACTGCTGGCGTTGGACGTCTGTCCAGTATTTGCTGGTCAGCCGGCAGCTCTGGGAAGCCCTTACCCATTAGGCAAGCGCTCTAGCACCTCGGTTTTCTTTTTTGTTGAGTTGTAGATTCTTTACACACTCTGAATACTGAAACAGTTCCTGAAGTTCTTTGAGGCACGATTTTTAATTTTGGCAAAGCCAAGGTGTTTCTTCCTGTTGCTCTTACTTTTGGTGTTACACTGTGACATCTAAGATGTCACTCTTAGAAAAAACAGGTGTGAATTTTCACCAAGAGTTTTATGGCTTTAGCTCCCTGATCCATCTACTTCTGTAGATGAGAGAATGAGGGAGTTATCATTCTTCTGAAGATGGTCCATTTATCTCAGGACATTATTATATTTTTTTTGGTACTGGGGATTAAACCCAGGGGCACTTAACCGCTGAGCCACATCCTTTTTTATATTTTATTTAGACTTGCTAAGGGCCTTGCTAAGTTGGCGAGGCTGGCTTTGAACTCACGATCCTCCTGCCTCCGCTTCCCAAGCTTGTAGGATTGGCTTAAGCTACTACACTGGAGCGGTCAGAGTAGAAGTGGATTCCTACATGTGGGGGAGACGAATCTGCACTTCCATGGAAGGGTGTGCCCCCTTCGCATCTGTGCCTCAAACAAGCACCATAAGCAAGTGTTTGGAGATATGGGCAGACTCCCCAAGATCCAGCTGGAAGGACTGAGCTGCCTTTGGGAGGAAGAGTTGGGGGCAGAGGGTGGTGTTGTGACCATCTTTAAAAATAGTTTGCATCAGTGATGGAGCGCTGGCCCAGCATGTACGAGGCACTGGGTTCAGTTCTCAGCATGTAAGCAAGTAAAGGCCCATTGACAGCTAAGAAAGTAGTAGTTTACACAAACCCAGTAAAACAGTCTATGGAGAATGGGGTAGAAATGACTTGGTGACACTTTTTTGAAAGCTCAGGGATTGATATTAGGTTCCCGTGAGCCACTGGCCAAATGGAGGAAACGGGACAGGGGCTGGACAGGACCCTGTGGTGGCAGCACTCTGATCTGGGAGCGCACAGTCCTGCACCTCCAGCAGCCTGGCTGTCATGCTGGTATCTGACATCCTTAACAGTTTTGTGGTCCAGCCTCGGCACCTCGGAGATCACTGTCCCCGTGATGGTGTAGTCACCGGGCAGCCCAGAGTCACTCTCCATGCCCTCCGAGCCTGGGCTCCACCTCAGGTTTTGCACACGAAGGCTGGGAGGACAAGCCTTCCTGGGGCCCTGGAGCATCTTGGGGACGGGCTGCCCCTCTGCCCATGCAGGCTGCAGACCTGGGAAGCCCTCATTCATACAGCGCCACCTCTGAGGACACAGCCTGTGGCAGCGCACAGTGGGGCTCTCCACAGGCCCCCTGGCTAGGCAGACCATGGTGCAGGTCCTGGGATCACCACGTGCCTCTACTGTGTTCCTGGGCTTCTCTCCCACCTCCTGTCTCATCTGTTTCACGAGAGCAAGACCCAGGAAGCGCTGCCATTTCCTGATGACTTGGTTCCCACTCCCTGGCACCAGCCATGCCCCTGCTGTCCCTCAGTCTCAACAGAGGCCTGCAGGCAGGGCAGGCCCCACTGGTCCTGGTGTCCACCTGCTGTGGGGGTTTCAGAGGTCCCTGCCCAGTTCCTGGCCTCCTGAAGGCTAGAGGCTCTTCAGATCTCAGAAAAAAGCAGGCCTCACCCCAAACCAGGGCCTGCTGAGAGGGGAGAAGGGTATAAGACCCCTGAGAAGTGCAGTTTCGTTGGTGCTATTTGACACTTCGACTGAGTGTGGGGCATTCAATTAGAACAGTGGGGGTTGCAGATAATGGCCCCACAGGCCTCATGTCCCATTCCTGTGGTTACCTTGGAAAGGTCTTTGCCTGTGTGAGACAGGACCCTGGCTGGGGAGGCTCTCCACTTGCCCCAGCAGGCTGCGGGGTCTCTGCACGCGAGTTGGCTAGGGCTGCTGCAGCAGCAGCGCACACAAACCGAGGGGCTCGGCCAACAGGAATCCCAAGAAGTCCACCATCGGGTGTGAGCAGGGCAGGCTCCTGTGGCTGCCAGGAGACCCTGTCCCGGCTGCAGGTGGCTTGCCGGCCGCCTCCGGCATTCCTCCACCTTGGCTTTGGTCTTACCTGGGGACCTCCCTCTGCTCCCACCATGTACCAGTTACTCCTCTGGGTGAGGATGCTCACTGTCAGGACCCACTCTCGACGGCCTGTTAACACAAGTCACCCAAGACCCTGTCTCCGAGTCAGTCACATTCTGAGGTCCTCGGGGCTAGTAATCCAACGTACAAATTGAGGGGCACAATTCAGCCAGTAGCAACCCCCAGGCCCACCCCAGCATCTGAGTTCCTTCAGCAGTGCCACCCCCAGCATTGGGGCATAGCCCAGAGAAGCTGCAACTCCTGACCCGGTCTGCTCTGGATTTGAATCCTGCCTTGGCCACAGTCGGGGGTTCTTAGGCAAGCTGCCCCAGTTCCCACGTCCACAGGGACAGCAGGAGCGCCCTGTGACAGTTCCTCAGTTGGCAGCGCCATGCCGTCTGTTTCTGCCTGCTTGCCCCTCCTCATGGGTTCGAGCATCTCAGGCTCCACGCACCACATGGACAGTCATCCTGCGACTGGACTAGAGTTTACCTCTGCAGGGAGCATTCCTATTTGAGGTAGATTGTCTAAAAAGCTACTGGGTGTGAGATTTCACAGTATCTATTTCTGACAATTTAATATGTTTAGGAAGCCAGAAAATCTCCAACCAACCATTATGAACTAAGTTCTTTAGAAATTGTGCTTTGAGATGTGATAATTGGTAAGAGCAGCAATTTCCTTCTGTGTGAAGCTGTTGCCCCCAACACTGCTCCTCTGAACAAAGGGACCCCTAGGCAGTAAAGAGCGGTGCAGTGGGCCGTCTAGCCGACTCCTTCTGCCAGTTGGGTGAAACATCCTTGGCTCCTATTTGCAGGACCTCTCAGAGCCTTCAGTGTGCAAGAGCATCGTGGCCTGGACACTGTTTGGTTCCTCTGCAAGTGACAGAAGGCCCCGAGGGCAAGGACTTCCTTTGTTAGAGAAGTGCATTTCTCTGGTCACAGTCCAGAGGCCTGCAGGACAAGGCCGACAGGCAGCTCCACCACAGCAGAAACCTGACACCTCTCTACCTGGCCATCTCTCCCTCCAACAGCGATCCTACCAGTGATGGGGGGGTGGGGGCGTTGAGACCAGCTGCAGGGCCTCCACCACACAGGACGGGATCAAGGACAGGAGCCCCCTTCTCTGTGGACACTTCCTGAAGTCACAGGTGTCACTCAGGATCCCACTGGCTGACCCAGATGCCAGCCCCCCGGGGTCTCTGCCATGAGTCTGAAGGAGAGCCCCCGGCTTGGTGCAGCTTGCCACGGCTGCCCTCCTGCAGGTGGCCCCAGGGGCAGCTCTGGGTCAGGGACCTGCGGGGCCAGCAGAGCTCAGGTCTGGCTTCCTGCGCTTCCCGGACCCACTTCCAGACTTGACACAGGTGCCGCCAGCACTTCCACCTGAACTCAGGACATGCCCTCGGCTGCAAGAAGCTGGGAGCCAGCCTAACTCAGGAGCTGGTTCCAAGCTCTGCTGGCAGCCTGCCCACCAGCCCCGGACGTCCTTCCTGATGCAACCCCAAGCGAGGGAGGTGGCTGAGGACTAATATCCCCAGGGAAGGCCAGGGGTCTCCTCAGGTCCAGCCTGGGGTGACCACACAGCAGGCAGATGTTGCCCTCCCTCTGAGCTGGGGTGGTGGGTAGGCCCTGGTCCCGGTAGGGAGGACTGTCCCTAGGTTGGGAGTGCCTCACCTCTTGGTTCACGTCCTGGGGGGAGAGTCACCCCGACCTCAGTCTGGGTGGCACTCATTCCCCTCTCCCCAAAGACCCTGGCCACCAAGACGACATGGACAACGTCTCTGTAGGAAGGGACCACACGTAGAGGTGGCACTATTGTGTCCACTGCTGATGGCAGAGCTGGCTTTCACCCCTCCTGGTGACCCCACCACAGGTTAGGTGTCCCCTGACCATCCAGTCTGCCCCAGGGCCTCCCCAAGGGTCCATTATTGCAAAGTGGGCCACAGATGGAGTGTGGACACGCTTCCTCCACATAGTCTGGACAACCATTTTGAGTCCCTTCCCCCATTCTCTGTCACAGTCCAATGCAGCCGGGATTCCAGAAGGTTCTCAGTCTTCTAGGAGCCATGTCTGCTGGAGGGGGAACCAGCAGCTGGGGAAACGCTGGAAAGACTCCTGCTCCACAGCTCTCCCAGGCTGCCGACTGCCGCCGCGGCTTGAGGCGCCTTTGCAAAGCTTCACTGCTTGGGAGGCTGCCTGACACCTGTCCTCAAGGACACGCGAGTCCAAAGCGAGCTGCTGCTTGTCCACCACATGCATGAGGACCAGGAGGAGGAAGGAGACCCCCCAGCACCATGCATGCCCTGGGAGGCATCCCCCAGTGCTGTCCTCAGCCTGGCAAAGGAACGTGGGCACAACCTTGGGGAAGGAAGTCTGGCCATACAAAGGGCCTAAAGCACTCCTCCCTCACTCGAGTCATTGAGGCCACGTTGGGGACAGGCCTGGTACTCTGATGAACAGACCCACAAAGGCGGGTGGAGCAAAACAGGAAGTGGAGTGGCCTGCTGGCAGGCAAGGCAAA